GTATTGTACAACGACAGGAAAACTACAGTGTTTAGTAATGTCAGCCATTGTTGGGTTACTGACTGGACATTGACCCAATGACTTAAAGCGAGCGGTGTAGCTGAGAGGTAGTTCAATATCACAACCACTTGTGAGATTTTTACATATTATACAGCTTTTTTGAAGCGACTTGGAGACTCTCTTGACYTCAAGGATGTCATTTRCATCAAGTCCAAGCCAAGGATGCTTTTCGATTGAGGCTACAAATGRTGGCAGATCTCGAGCAAGTTCAGCAACATTTTCATAATAGCTTGGCTTGCAAATGATCTCGACACAAGCTGATGAAGTTACTGGCAAACTGATCCAATGTCTCTGTTTATGATCGGCAATTGCATTAACGGTAACTACTTCTTTGACCATGTGTAATGTTAAGACTTGCGAAGAACTTAAGGATCTGTCTTCTTCTTTGTCATCCATGTAYCCCTCCTCGACTTTCACAATCTGCGGGGGAGGATAAACCTCTACAAAATCGCTTAACTTGAAGTCTTGACCACTCCATACTATATTTTCCTCGCTTATATTAGTAACAGACATCGTAATATCTTCAACAATAGTCAAACTCTGTAAGCTTCCGCAAAAATGGCGGCCTTTAAGATCACGGATGACCTATTAAGCACTCAGACGTCATTGTGTGACAAACAAGTCGAGAAAACAAAGCAAACCAGTGAAAATACRTTGTTTTCATGAATTTGAACTCTGAGTTGCTGGCGGTAAGTCAAAAAGCAGTAAGATTTTAATCCATTCTCAATTCTCTGCAATTACTAACTGTACAAGTACAAGCGAATCACACATAACCTCAGTCGTGTTTTTTTTCACATGTATAAATTCAATTACAAAATTTAAAATACATAAAATACGCTTTTAAGATGTCCAAAACTTTTCGATTTGAAAATTTATCTTCTTTCTGAAGACTTTTAGAAACCAATGGTTCCATTTTTTAATGTTTTTCTTTTATAAATATTTTGTTATTAGTTTTCTTTTTTAACATATTGCAAAGCGCCGTTGAGCTGTATGTACTAAAAGGACTCTATAATTAGACGATTCGTTGACGCCAACCGTGGTAAATAAGAGCACGTAGTACCAAGAGAAGCTACCATAAATTTGTTAATTATCCTATTTCACGGCAGTAGCGTGAAAACTCCCTAAARCCGTGAACAAGTACTAACCAGATAGAGCTAACAGCGCTAAATAGTATGATTAGTGGTTTTCCTTCCCTTCCTTCCCATAGTTTACATAAATTGTTAACTTCATACATGTTTACTTACGTTTTTCAGACGTTTCGGTCCATAAYCAGGGCGTTTCGTACACGAGCTGCGCGATTGAGTGTCGAGCGTGCGCACTCCCGTTCATGGTAGGAACGTAAACTGAATTTGCTCCATAYATCTGAAGGTTAACACTACCATTCCTTGGTTATCATCGGAACTTACTCCATATCTGTATAAAAAAGAAGTTATCAATATGGATAAAAGTGGTTTTCATTAATCCGTGAAACAAAATTTTATAATCAAAGTGTAATAGAGTACAAACACTAAAACTGTGCAACATAAATACCACTAAATACTGCTAAATTATGCTAATTCTACTGCTTTCTATTGTTTAATCAACACTAYTTTGTAGTAAATAGTGGAAAGTGTTGCACACATTTAATGTTTGTACTCTAGAGTGGTTTTCATTAACCTGTGAAACACACTTTAGCGTATTTATCGCTTTTACACTTTGGCTCTTTTGTTTTTTATTGTCTCTACGCGACTATTGCGATCTATTACCCTCTAATTATTACACTTTGTTTCACGGGTTTATGAAATTTACCACTCTATTGTGTGCTACTGCTAAAACTCTACACTTCTCGACACTTGTATATCATTATGTTATTACGATCATTTGCTTGATAATGGCGTCATCGGACGACACCAAAACGTCGCAGTAACAACGTAAAACCCGTGTTTTCTTTCGTTAACTTTTGTTACACCTAAAAGATAACGAAAAACATGTATGATAAAATGTAGAACGCTAAAGGGAATTCAGGTTCTTGAACAAGGATTTAAAGCAACAAGAAACTATTGTAAACAGTTGTGTTCACGGAACCCACAACACTGAATTAGCGACAAGTGTCGACTTTTCGACTTTCAATTTTATTTTCATGAAATATTTTCAAAAATAGACWCAGTATTTGTTCTGAATGAAGCCAAATACTCCAATTCTCGTGGAGCGTCATTTTTATGGAGGCCCGAACCCATCCTCAATACTTCCTTGACATTGAATAAGACAATAAGACGAACAACGACGAAGCTACAAGGTTGCCATCTTTTTTTTATAATTTATCAAGTAGCCAGTTAACGCATTTATTTTTACAGAAACCATTTTAACACCGCARGGACGGCTTTCGAAACTACAACGATTCTGGACAGCCATGTAAACAAGTGAAACGAAATCAGTCAAAAAGCCACAAAGTCCTTGATATCACAGGGATTTGCTCCGTAGCCAAAAGGGGGAAAGTATTTGCACTTGAAGTGTGACTTCTTTACATAAAGCAGTTCTATCATTSCATGATCACAAGGCCGGACGCAGCTAGAGACGAGGTTTTGTACTTGAAAATTGTAAGGTATGTATTTATACCAGCTCCTTAACGGCGATGAAGAGAATTTAACACTAAACGAGCGTAAGCAYAGACGGAAATTGTCAACAAGTCGATTGTAAACGWATTTCTTTTGGCAAAGGAACTTAAAACATTGGTTRCAGTTTCACATCATTCACACAATTTATYTTTAAMAATGGATTTTTAAACAAATAAACAAACAATGAAAACGATAGTTGGAAACTCATTCATCTGAAAAGTSCAAGTGGAATATGCACCTAAATAATAATGATAAAAAACTCAATTAAGACTAACTAACGAAAAGATGGGAATAAGCAGTAACTTATGTGAGCTGCTTCGGTGTTTCTAAAGAAACAGTTATGAAATAAGATAAATTCTAGACTTGAAAAGTAGGAGAAGTAACTTACTGAATAACTAATTAAGTTTACTTTCAGTACTAGCTTTAGAACATCCATGTTTTTTTTAGCTTCTCAAAATAAACCGAAGATTAATCTTAAGGTAAAAAAACATTCACTTTTGATTTCAGATTGTTTCGCACAGTTGACAAAAGATCCATAGACCGACCATGCTCGAAGAAAGAGAAGAAATTCCACAGAAATGGAGYTCAAATACTTTTAAGCTCAACGGATTTTTGGAACGATTTCCACTTCCGCAAACAGTTAAAGTCGTAGAAGGAGTTTTTACGGACGAAGAAGACCAAGAAACCGTTTGCATTGATGATATTCTTATTTTCCACAACTGCGAAAAAATCCTCAAGGTGAAAGCATCCGATTTTCGAAATGAAACTACATCATTGGCGTGCGATACGAAAGTCACACGAGTGGCCTCCGAGTTTGCGCATGCCCGTTTGAGCGCAAGGGATATCTTGAAACATCTTTCGAAAGTCCGTTTCCTAAGAATGCTCGTAGAAGACGATGAAAATGGATTAGAAAGAAACGAAAAGCTTAGAATTGATTACAATTCCGTTCAGAACCACGGAGAYACATTTTCATTTGTTCTCGAATCTATTACAAAACAAAGCAAACAAGTTGAGATTACTCAAAGTTGTACAGCACATTTTCAACCTATCCTCGACCCAAACGAATACAACATTTCTGAAATTGTGAAAAAGTTTGGACTACCGCAGCATGTGCTCGTAGTTAACAACCTAAATTCAACTCATACGATTTGCGAAGAGGAAAGTCATGGAAGAGTTGTCAAGTTGGAGAGCACGTTTACAGAGAGTATCGTAAACGTYAGTAACCTATTAGAACCAAACGCAGTTTTTCGTCTTCAAACTAATCTGGAATTGGTCATTTGTCCAACATTGGACGCAGTATTGCAAGGGACGTCTCCGAAAGCATCCGACATGATCAGCCCGCAGACCAGTAAGGATAGAAAATCCGAGAAGGATCCAAAGGACGCAAGTTTAGTAATCTATGAAGACATGTCAAGCCTTGCTCTCGATGGTATTACATCGCTTGAAACGCTTGGAAAGAGCTCTATGCAAAGTCAAGTATTAAATGCTTATACACCGACCCCATCGGCAATGGCAATGATAAAGGCAAACGCTGTATCTCAGAAACCACACGGGGCTATAAAGCTAAAGGAAAGAGGATCAGAAAATGTCATACAATTGTCTGAAGGCTGGTACGACGTTCCCAAGTCTTATGCGGCAGAGAAGTGCGAAGGGAAAGCAAATCTTAATGTCGGAAAACTTAAATCGGTAGAGGGTGAAGACAAAGACCATATCTACCAAGAAATTGACTTTCGAGCGCTTATTGAAGCAAAGAAACGTGTCAAGGCAGAGGTTTCGCTGACTGACAAAGATAAGGAGCATCAGGGAGAGAACGCGAGTGCTTCTGCAACGAAGTTGGATACCCTACCACGAGTCTCGTCTAAGTTGGATACCCTGCCACGAGTCTCGTCTAAGTTGGATACCCTRCCACGAGTCTCGTCTAAGTTGGATACCCTGCCACGAGTCTCGTCTAACCGCAAGACTGCATACTACAATATTACCCAACACTTGAGTTTCACAAAAAAAAGCCATGACATTACAACAAGACGTCACAGTAGCTTCCAATTAAATGAAAAAGAAAGCACAAACAAGTCTAAGGATTTCATTCACAAGASAACACAGGAGAGCTCAGTTTTGAACCCGAGCGACCACACGGCTGTTCTGTACAATCGTTCWGTTTCTACTAATGTGTGCGATGAGAGCCTCACTTCAATRTGGACACAAAAACACAACCGAAGCTCRACGTCACAGCGCAGTCACTCCATCGGGTGTTTAGAAGGAACTGGATCTCTTGGGGGCTCAATTTCTGATGCTTTAACCAAACATAAAATGTTTGTTTCAAGATCGGKTAAGGCAAACGTGGTGCCTCCACTTCCGCCACCTCGCTTATCAAGCATAAAACCTGTGTCCGATACTGAAATATGCRCACCGGGAGAGCAAATGCTTCATAAGGGTCTTTCGAATCAGGACAAACATCCTGTTGGCGAAACTTATTCATTGAATGAAAAAACATCAAAAACGGCAGCAGGGAATAACAGCTGCAGTAGTGGACAACAACCTTTGCCAACTGGCTCAGTAAGGACTCGCTCAGTCTCTGCCCCTCATATACACGAAGCCAAAAACTTTAAACATCGAGACTTTGAACTTCCATGTTGTAGTCACGAGGCRCAACTCGACGTRAAGAAAATGCACGAGAAAGAAMATCCGAGTGRCCCGGGTTTACTCCTAAGATCGAAAACAGAGCTTCCGTTAGAAACCAGGAAACCTCGTGCCAAGGCGCCTAAACCACCAATAGTGCCGAAACCAGAAATTCCCGCACTTTCTCATAAACAAAAGTTGACTACTGTAAAAGAAAAAGGCCCTCAGTTGGAAAACAAATCTGTTCAAGGATGTTATTATAACAGTTTACCTCGACAAAAACCACCAAATACAACGAATGAGGACTTGTTTAGCATTCCCGACGACTTGACACATTTGMGTGTCTCTGAAGTATGCGCTTGCTTGAAAAAACTTCACTTGGAAACTCTAGTGGACTTCTTCAAACAGAATTTGATCGATGGGGAAATGTTAATGGAACTGGATAACGATACTATGGTTGAAATGGGGWTCGAGCGATTTCACAGGCTGAAATTGAAGAAATTTATMGATGGATGGAGGCCAAGTTTGTGAACAATTGAATTTTTCCGAGTAAATTACTCAAAACAGTTTAAAATTCTATACTATTACTATTACACTATAATTATATTTGATTCAAAAAACTCGTTTRATCCGAAATACGCTATTCCTCTAGAGATTGACGCTAAGTGAACTAGTTTCCAAACACCCAATCGCCAATCTCGGAGGACCCCAGGCCAAGTGTTTCCGAAGAAGCGTCAACAAAAAATAATGAAAATGATTGATTTTTTTAAAGATTTATTTGTGGATATTATTATATGCAAGCGTTATGAGTGAAATTATTTACATTTTATCTTCGAATATTTAACTAAGTGCTAAAAGGTTGTTCAAAAAAGCGGCCTTTTTAACAATTTAGTTGTCCATTAAAACAAACTAAAAGGATCCAGCTTGTCCTTTTGCCCTTTGGTTTATTCATAAAATGTCATATGTAATACTAACCCCTGAGTAAACGCACTAGAGTGAAGTCAAAAAACCCKTCRAATAGATATTACACTAATACACCTTAGTACGCTTTTATTGTAGTGTTTTCCTTTGTGTCTATTTGACAATTATCATAATTTGATAACACAGTGAAAGTGTACTAATTTTTTTTTACTTCCAATTTCTTTGAATTTCTTTCTACGATATTTAATTAACGGATTTAGCGCGTTTACTCTAAATCTCAAGATGACGTGTTAGCAATTAGGTGTATCAACATCTGATAAACTTGCAGACGTCATAATATGACCATGTGACATTTCATGTGACGTAAACCTGTCGCACATTGATCAGAGGAAGTTGGACGACCTGCATAGGTCGACGAGCTGTCACTGATTTGGGGAATATTTTTTTCTGTTTTGTGAGATATTCGTGACTTTGCATGAATTTTATTCCCGGTTTAACCATTTAAGATGGTCGCTCGTATCTAAAAATTCTCCATTAAATGAAAGGTACACTGAGTATCCCTAACCTCCCATAGCCAGTCCATATTTCGTTCACAGTGGGTGGTTTTCCTTCGCTTTGCGTGACCAGTGTGCGTGACTTATCACTTCAAACGCAAAACAAACACAATCAACATTTTSTTTGTAAAACTTGTGAAGTACATTAGARAAATGSCCTGTGAAAACCATAAGAAAGAAGTASACTTGACGAGTTTTCCAATCGCGACACAGATTGGATTATTTGGTTCACTTCCTTGTTGAGTGTGATCAAAGGTCGCATCTTGTCGAATGCCGATAGGAAGCATTGTTTGGAAAGCGAAGGAAACGCAGAAAAACAAAGATTTCCGGTTACATTGTGGTTTCTATGAATTTCAAATTAATTGCTTGTCCTTATTTTGCTACCAAATCAAATTGTGCGCAGTGGTTTCGTCCAAGCGCCGTCAACGACTGTTTTTTTTTTGTTATTGTCACAAAAGAAGCAGTCAGGGTCACTGGGTCAGCACGAAGATGCAATCAAGTTTGACAGTGAAGATTAGTCATGATCAAACCCTTCACTCTTTAAATTTTCTCCTCAAAAGGAAGCGAAATGTCTTCCAGAAGAAGCATTGAAACCACCTTTAACAGAAATGATTTTATTTCTTGCCTCGGAGTCGGTCAACAAGAACTATCTTTGATATAAACTCTGTGTTTATAAACAGCAAATTTCATCTACAACATGGATGAAAATCCACTCAACTATTTGGCTAGCTTAGAGACCATCAAATGGTCTGACAAGAACTACAATTTGAGCACGTTTCTGGACCAGAATGGAGAATCTTTACCACACGTTGTTAAAGTCATCGAGGGATTTTGTGGCGTTGCCTCTTCATGCACGATCGATTCTGGTCAACATTTAATCTTACACGCTCTCCACAAAGAAATCAAAATCCTTGCCAAGGATTCTAAAGATTATGACCTTTTTATTCCCCAAAATTTCCAGGTGAAAGTGGAAATGGTTCCAAAGCATTCGTTTGAGGAATATTCCACCATCAGGGATCTGCTACGTACGTTTCCTAACTACTTTCGCGTTATTGAGGACATTCCTTCGCTCGACATCACATCAGACACCATCTTCCAAGTAGTTCGACAAAACACTTTTACTAATTACATAGAATGTTCACAAGTTGGGAAAGATGAGAATGAAGGAAAAACAAAGTTTACTCTCGATCTTCAAGGAAGATTTCAACCTCTTCAAGATAGCAGAGAATTCTTTGTTGATGAAGTCCTTATGGAGGACTGCCTTCCTGTCACAGTTCATTTTGTAAAATCGATGAATACGTGCTCAAAAGGAAACAGCAAAGTCTCTCTGGATGAACTAGGGAATGTGCTCTTGATAGGACAATGTGAGACTGAGTCTGTATTTGCAACCCTGCTAAACTGCAATGGGAAATCCCTTGCTGTATTTCCAAGAAACTTAAATATCACAGTACAACCTGCTGAAGTCAATGATGACAAATACATGACACTGCAGAAAGAGATTATTGTGAATCAGGACAAAACACTGAAGCGAATTCAAAGACTGAACAAACTGGGATTGTATCAAGCAAGAAACCCCATCCAACAGTTTCCTTTGGTTGACATTCTGCCACCAATATTTCCAAAGTCTAGAGCACAGTCAGTAATGGAGGGTCATCTAGGAAATATCCCTAACTTAATGAAAGAGGTAATCTATGTTAACTTGAATGGTAATCTAATGTTTTGAGTATTTTGTTAGTGTTTGAGAGAATACACAAGTCATATCTTCTTCCTATAAACTCTTTGATACTCACACCAATTATAGTGAATAATTATTATTATATAAAAGAGGCTATGCTCTCTGTTTGGTAATAGAGTATACTGAAATATGACAAGAACACAAAAGAAAAAAGTCTTGAATTTTAAAGTGGTGTTAGTGATGTTGGAACCACTAGTGATAACAATGATAATAAAAATAAAAATAATACAATAATAATAATTTAATATAGCATATAAAAATGTTTCTATATGCTTAATAATAATTAATAATGGAAACAATCACTATATTTACTCCTCAAAAAAGAAAAAAGGAAAAAAAGGAGGGCTTAATAATTACATAAAATAACAATAACATTAACAAGTGAGTGCTCTCTTCATTTACCAGAATCCTAGCTGTATGAAGCAAGTACTTGGATTGTACTAGTTAGTACTTGAAATGATAATATTTTCAATGTACACAAGGATTAACAATAATTATATCAACACCCATATTAAGCAGAAAAACTTATTTTTATCTTTATTCTAATGCACTTTTGATACTGTGTCCATTCTGATTGGCAGAGAACTCAGTGTTCTGTTAGTATTGGAACGCACTGTTGGCATCGCTTTCCATAAATACTTCTACAATATAAGCTTAAAATAAAAAGGACTAACCAGGATGCACAATAGAAAAATTTGATAAACATTCTCTGGTCAAAAGGTTTTCGCTGAGAGTTCTCAGTAAAAATATTCAACCATAGAACGTTTATCATATTTTTCTAAAATATAAGCTATTTGTTTATTTTTATAAGTTAGATAAAAAGGCTTTGGCATGCTCCATACAGCAAGCATTCTGGTAAATGAAGAGAGAGCACTTGCTTGTTAATGTTATTACTGCATATGTAATTATTAGATTTTTTGTAGTAAAAGAGATAGCAGTTTACACTATTGCATCAATTTTAAAAGGACATCTTTATCGAGATTCATTATTTAATTTCCTATATTGTACTTTTTAATTGTTTATAGTCAAGTCTTTCGGCTGTTGTGATAGACATTTCCTTTACATGCTCATTAGTCTTAGAACACTTATATAAAATGGTTTCAGCATCATTCATGTACTTGTCATGTATAACCAATACTTTGCCTAATTCTGGTCTTGTGATACAACACATCAAATTCATATTACGCATCTTAGGTGAACAGGAAATGTTTTGCAGCAAAAAGAGCTGAAGGTGTGCTTGTTGCAACCATCTACACAATGACCTTAACTGACAATAAACACTGGTCGAACTATTTCAGTTTCAATTTATGAGCAAACTTACTTTCTTTCTTTCACACAAAGAGAAAGCTAATTTCCGTGCCAAAATGCACTTGATTTTGAAATTTGACAATACATTTCTTTTAATAGATCTTATTAATGCTGCTAAAATGATCACATTTAGTATGAATCTGGAATGAAAGCAACCACATTGGTGATTACTATCATTAATAATATTTTTCACTATTTATTTTTAATAAATTATTTTTATATCTACTTACGTGTATATATTCTCTATTTTTTTTACCATGTTTTGAGGGAGCAAACCCAAACAGTCTGGACTTTCTGCACACTAAAGACAATTTTTTAAATAGAAAAACTAGTTTTGTCTACATAATTTTTTTAATTATTTTTTTTTTGTCCTGATTTTTAGCATACTACAATATGTAACTCCATGTTTATTCCACTGCTAAGCTTAAGGCTACAAAACGTTTTTTTATAATTATTATCATTAATTATGGAGGTTAGGTTTTTTGTCTCTTGCTTGGATACACAGTAATTTTAATCACATGTTCAAGTCTTTTATCTTAAACCTTCAACAGTGCTAAAATGTTTACAAAAACAGTACATATATCATTATCAGTTTTAATAATAATTTTTAATTTATAATTTTGCTGTAATTATTAAAATAATTTATGTATGTCATTTTGTTATCCTATTGCTAATGTTATGTGTGTAATTCCTCTTAAAAAGGTGTTTTCTTCCTGTAAAACTTGAAATGAAATGTCTGGCACCTATTTACTGACTGTAGCCAGTGCTGACGCTTCATCTTTGTTCGTACATATGGATAATATACATATAACATCCTGAAAAAATCATAATTGGACATTGTAGCCCCTGAGCCCATCCAAATCCATTCTCATATTCAAATTTTATTTTATTTTTGTAAGGATATTTCATTTTCAAAAAGAAACAACCTAGATCATAGAATAATTAAAATTGAATGCTGAGTATTTTCTACTTTCTCTTTGCACAGAGAAGTAATTCAACTCCTCCTGAACCAACACTGGTCCAACCACAGCAAAGTGTGACAATGAAAAGCCCTTTTAAGAGAGGTATCAAGAAGACACCAATGACGGGGTCATGTCATAGCTCAAATCCACAAACTCCACAACAGAACAACATTGACAAGGTAGGAAGTGGAGCAACGGGCTCTAAGAATATTGATATTCATGAAAGAATTTTTCCAAAACACGTACCCTTTTGAGCTAGTTTAAAGCTTTTCAGTAACTTTTAATGGATCTGTGTTGACATACAAATTCAGTAGAAACTAACAATTTCATTGGTTTTTCTTTCACAAATAGCTTTTGCCAAGACTTCAAAAAATCTTGTTAGCCATTAGATTTACAAATGCAAATCAATTCATAATATAATTTTTGTACGTACTGGACTACCAGGACTACCAAGAATAGTGAAAACTAGTTTCGTTTAATAAAAAAACCTCTTCAGTTCACTGTTTTTCAATGTGTAATAAAGTACATATTATGATAAGAATTTTTTAGTCAAAAGTGTTAAGTTTGAATATGAATATCTTCTTATTTTAATCCTTCTTCACCTAACTTCTTGTTGATTTTTAGAAACATCCAACCTACAAACCCCCACCTATTCCAGCAAACACAGCACCACCTCTTCCACTAAAGGACAAAAATAAATCAAAGCAAAGTCAAGATYCTGCCTCACCTCCTCAAATAGAAACATTGAAACAACCGAGTCCCACCACTCCGACACCTCCGCCCCGAAGACGACGCAAGACACAGAAAAAGAAAACTGATGTCCCTGATGGAATTATTGATGACGAAGGTTATGTAAAGATGAATCCATCCGATGAGATCAAGATTAGTGATGAGTATGAACAAATGAAACTGCCCTTTCAACATACGAATCCACCATCCACAGAAAACTACAGTGAATCAGATATGACACTGGAAGAACTTTTTGCTGTTGCTGATGATGACACAAATGAAAAAAACGAGAACACTGTCCCAGTTCTTGGAAAACATGATGTTGATATAAATCATAATCTAACTCCATGTGATTCCTTTGAAGTTGATAATAATGATCTGCATGATTATTATAATATAAAAAATTTGGACCTTTCACAAATTAACAAAAATGTGGACTCTCATGATTATGAGAACACTCCCAAAGAGCTTCCTGGAAAATCAGGTGAAGATGACCAGGGAGTGCATACTTATGAAAATACCAAAACACTTGACTTAAGTACTTTAGCAAGACTATCACTTAATGAAGAACAACATACCAATATTTGCAACACAAATGACCAAGTCTCATTGAATACTGATAGCAGAAAAAATAGGTATGCCTATGAAAACACAGCACATTTGAATCGGGATTTGCCTCAACAAGCACCAGAAAGAACATTAATTGACAATGAACCTTCTCCCAGCTACATGAACACCAAAATCACAGACTTTCAAGCTCCAGGAGCTAATACATCAGCTCCAATTTATGCAAATGTTAAAGATGATTCTGGATATGATAATACTACTGGTACGACTTTTAAACAAGATGCGTCCAATGGACAAACTTCTGTTAGCCAAAGGAAGGCTTTTGAAGAGGTTAATTCTTCAATAAGGATTAGAAGTGATGACAATAATCCTGGGTATGAAAACACCTTGAATTTGAATATCAGCAAAGGAACAGAAACAACATGTAGCGACAAAACCCATTTTGATATGCTTCACTCTAGTCAAGCTAGAACCCTAACAAAGACCCAACAACTTGTGTATGAGATTTCACAAAAAAGACCAAGTCCAATAGGGATGGACGAAACTCTGTTGCATGACGAAGACCAATATACCTGCATGGACAGAGGGTATCCTTGTGCAAACAGCAATTTAGATGCAACATTTGGGAATCAAAACGATGGAGGTTTTTATGTTGCTATGAATCAATCAATACGAGATTCTGAGATATACGAAAATGAAACGGATGATGATTGCCCAGGGTCTAAAAGGGATTCATGTTATGAAGAAGTTGAATTCCCATTTTCGCAAAGTAGAAAGGAAGGAGATGGTTCGTCAAAGGGTGTAGACCAGGAAGAATTGCACTACCATGAAGTGGATCTTTCGGCACTTGCTTTGCCATGCGAAGGTGATAGTTTGCCATGTGACGATGTTTACGAAGACATAGACATGCCTGAGACTTCATCAGTCTGTCCTACAAAGCCTAAACCTCAACGTCCTCCACCACCAGCCAAACCGACACGACATGTTAGGTCTCAGAGAGCCACAACTAAGAGTGAAGGAGAGCCTCTCCCATTCAAAACACCCCCAACATCCCCTCCTAGGGTATCCAGCAGTCTGGATAGCAAGATGTCGTTACACTCAAAGACATCAAAGTACTCAAAATCTGATGACTTTGAATACTTTGATGAGGCACAACTTCATCTGGCCATAGCAGAGTCTTTAAAAGGCATCAAGCAAGGTAATATTGGCAGACCACCAGCTCCACCCCCTAAAAAACTAAACTACGTTAAAGTTGAAACCGTAAATGACTTACCAGTGAAGTCAACAAGTAAAAAAGCTCCCACTAATTACAGTGAAATAGTTCCAACAGAACATCCCAAATCAAGGTGCAAAGAAGATGACATGGAATATATAGATGATTGCCAACTGCATTTTTTTGACCAAGAAACAAGAAAAATGGAAAAGAAACGCAAAGAGTTGAGGACTATCAAGGGAAATCCTTCAAACAAAGACCTCAAACACGAAAGCTCCAAACCAAGTGTCATCAAAGAACAAGTTGAGAATGGATCATGTGATTCTAGCCAACAAATCAACGATGCGAGGGATGTTAAAACGCAGATTGAACAGGAATCATGTGATGCAAGCAAACCAATGAAACCCTTGGTTCCAAGCAGAAAACGTACAACAAATACAAATGAAGTAAAAAAGGGAAATAGTTTTGCAACAAATGTGGAGAGTACACCTGGAAAACCCATAAATACAGACTCCATTAAAAAGCGTGCATTGTTACCGCCTCCAAAACCAAAACGACTGTTTTTGAACAACGAAAAGCCCAATGATAATACAAATAATCCACCATTCAGTGGAAACATTCCTCAATCTCCGGCAATGGACAGCAATTCATCTCAATCCCAACAAAAAAGAGAAGGAACAAAGAAGAAGCCATTGCCACTCCCTCGCAAGAAAGTATAAGTGTAATAAATAGAAACCCCTGTAGAAGGAAATGAATTCATCGGTGGTGGTGTCATTTTTATACAGTGAAATGTGACGAATTTAGTTCGAATCAGTTAAGTAAATAATGTCGTCAAATGATGGATTATTAATATACTTCCATTTGTTAATACAAATGATTCTTTGGCGACAGACATTTAAAGCTCACTTGAAGTTTATAGCAGTGTTATAGCGCGCACTGGACACTTCAGTTCACGGCCTGAGAGTTCTGTTATTTTTGCAGCGCGAATACTTTCATTTTCCAATCAAATACTACAGATTACTTTAAATATTTCATAGATTTACCTCTTTTAGCATCAAATGTGAACTTTTAGACGGGATTTCTGCCATTGTAGCTTGGAAACTTGCAGAGATCACAGTACAACCGTCCGCCATCTTTTATGGCTTAGAGACCAAGTACATCATTTTGACACAGGGATCCTGAAGGTGTAAAACAGGAACTCCACAAAACAATTTTTTAAATCTCAATTAAAAGCATCGTTTTCAATCACAATTTATTTTTTTACAGCTCAAAACAAAGGTTATCGTTTAAGTTACGAAGGCATCAATCAAGGGAAGCTTTCACATTTTCTGTATATAGATTTATATTTTTTGTATGAAGATGAATAGATTTTTTAACTTCGCTATTGAAGTACGTATAAATAATCAAAGAGCAAAACTATTATCTTTAAAGAACAGAGCAGGATAGTTAGAATCTTAAAGTTGTAAAAAATAATGCTGTAGAAAATCAACCTAATTAAAACAAAGGGTGTAAAAGTGGATTTGTCCTTTGTTGATCAAATTACCTTGCTAAAATACTACATGGGTAGGAAGCGGGGGCAAAGAATGGCAGGGGCGGATCCAGGATTTTCCTCAGGGAAGTGTGCGAGGCACTCAGTAGGGGGTGTACACCACAAAAACAAAAAATCATTACCATGAAGATACGAAATAAGGTATTGAAGGATACAGATCTCAGATCTCTGCACCCACGAGTTGGATCTATCCCTGAATGATGTTGGTTGAAGGATAATAGTTGGAATCAGGGTTGGGCAAGGTCTGGTAGGGGTGCAAGGAACAGTTTATGAGTAGGATAACAAGGACACATAGTATTCTAATTTGAGCATGTTGTAGAGAGCTTTGAATATAACTATATTAGTCTACTTTGAAATCTGTTGTTGTCAGACTACATATCTGACTAACGGAGAGGCTGCACATGCAAAGGACTCCATTGCAGGACACACAACAGCAATTGCAACACTATCAATACTCCATTTTACAGTTCCAAGCGCCATCTCGAAAGATAGCTGCGACTTTCCATCAAAGCGAGTCAGAAGTCGATCTTGCAGTATGATAGATATCAAATGCAAATGCTTGGAACTGTAAAATGGAGTATTGAGCATAAGTTTGACCTAACAAGCAAAAGGCTATTTTCAAATATATAGAGAAACATAAAACATACAAAAAGATGCATACTTTAGGATGGATTTCAAAGGAAGTGGTTGAGGAAGAGCTTAAAATGAGTGCATATGATTCATGGCATTTCAGTGTTCTCATTAGTAAACAGATGAAAAGAAGTACAATAAGTTATTTTGCAATAGTTCTATTTTGTACAAAAGCAATTATATTAAGTTCACAGGTAAAAGACTATTCCTAGTTTTTGAAGCCAGATTGAGTAGAATTACACGTAGGTAAGAAACTGTTTGAACAAGAGGAAGAACAGGCATATGAATTAGTTCATAAGTACTTCCATTTGAACTAGTCGAGCGTTGGTGTCTCCTGGCATGCGGTATGGTATCAGCCCAGCAAATGTGATCAGGGCTCGTGCCTGACGACGTAAAATCTCCCGGAACTGAAAGATAACAAATAAGCTCAGAATGATAAATATTCCTTTTGTTTTCTGTTGGTTACAACAATTATAGATTACCCTCTCCTGACCGCCATCATCTCTTCTCCTGTCAATCAATGGGCTTTGACCAGTTGACCTGGGGTATACAAATTAACAATTTAATATGGAAAATTGACAAATAGATATATGAATGGATGAGAAAGTGCATGAATAAATAATACAGGGGCGGATCCAGGATTTTCTCCAGGGAGGGGTGCGGGGCTCTCAGTATGTGGTGCACCCCACAAAAAATCATTGTCATGAAGATACAAAATAAGGAAAGTATTGAATGCACCCATCAGCTGGATCTGCCCCTGTAATAAAAAGGATGGATGGACAGACTCTTCCAGAATGAATATCTGAATGAAGAGAAACGTTCAGATGGATGGAATAATAAATATTAATTGATATTAATATATTTTAATTATACTAATTCTACAAATCAATACTCACTTTGTTGTCTTGTATTTGGCAAAGAGTATATTCATTGAAGCAAGAAGTACATCAGGGAGACATCTGCGTATCTGAATACAAACAGAGTTCAATTTTGCTTTCACAGGAATAATTTAAATAATGATTACAAAAATAAAAAGCTTGAAAATGTGTTGTCACAATATCAAAATGATCACTCTAGAACTGCAGCACTTTGAGAATGTGAATCTAAATTCTCTAAACTAAAACTAAGTGTCTTGTAACAAATACCTCATCATTGTACTGTCTGAAAGCAGCTACTCTTTCCTCGACTGTTTCACTACTGAATGGAACCAGTTTAAGCTTCTGCATTACCTGAGAAGGAATATGTCAATTAAGAATATATAATTCTTAAGTATAGAGTCGTTCTCATTAACCCGTGGAAAAAAGTGTAATAGTAAAGGAGAGACAAAGTGTATGAGGGTGTAATAGTGCAGGAGAGACAAAGTTCAACTATTCCTACTTTTTTTGCAGTCCAATCAAATTTCATCATCTTCCATACTTACATCTAGGGCTGTGTCCAACTGATTTGCATGATACAAATCAAAGAACTGCATTAAATCAAGTAGTAAAAAGAAGGTACTAATTCTGCTCTGACTGGCATTATGACCAAGTAGGCGATACCTAAATACAGAGAAAAAAACAATTATTCAGAATTACATTCAATAATAATTTTTTGGATTCCTGCACATGTCCAACCTGTCTGCAATTGTGACAGCAAGATTCTGAAGACGGTCACGTGGGGACTGATTACCACCTGATGTCGATACAACCTGAAGAACAATGAGAAAAACATTCAGGTTTGTGCTGAAATTTCAATGGTAAATCTAGTGTCTATCTGGATTTGTCCCCTAATAAATTAACTACAGGTACATGTACATGTAATTCCCCTACCTGACTTAACAGTTTATTTAGGATTTCAATAGCTTTTTCATTATTCTGAAATAAAAATATTATCCTGACATTAGAAAACTGTGCAATCAGCTTGAGGCTGGTTCTTTCAACTAACCTTTGCAAGGTCATAGAGCTTGATTGATTCCTCAAACAGTCCTTTTTCTTCAGTGTCTTTTGCAACAATTTCAATGATCCGTTGTGTGTCATTTTTGTTCTTTTGAAACTTGTCAATGCACCCAGGCTTCAAAAATATTAATAATTTAATCAAGGACACCAATTTTAAAAGAACAAATAAACAAAGCAGAGAAAGTTTTTTTAGTAAGCATGTTCATACAACTGTACCTTACGAGATCCATCAGGTTGAAGGCTTCCAAGCAGCATCTCAAACTAAACGTACACATAAGAAGTATTGCTTATACAAAAAGATACATGTAGTTAATTTATAAAGAGATAATTTCATTGCTTTACTTACCTCCCTAGTTTCTAGCACAAGCTCACTTATACATGACTTGAAGAGATCTTCTCCATGAGGGCGTTTAATACCACTGTTGATCGGAGAACGGAAAAGAACAAAGAACAAAGAGTGAAGAGTTGTAAAAAAATTATCAATTATAAATAATCATTGACTCACCGTAAAAGATAAAAGTACTGCAAAGCTTCCCTCGAGTCTGTCATCTCAAACTTACGTGTGTAAGTCATAATGAGTCTTGCAAAGTTTAACCTTCTTCCAGGAGGAGGATCACCAGCTTCAATAGTCACTGCATACAAAAATTGTCAAGTAAGTTTATTTACTTAGAGCTATTAAAGTGATTGGTAGACTTACAGGGTTGTGCTTGTATAGACTCTGAGGTTGCAAGGAGGCCCATCTCATAGAGAGATATTGCATAATGTACGGCATGGCTTCTGAAGAATTCTACCCTAGACAAGAACTCTATTGCCTAAAAAATATTGGATAGCATTATACAGTGCATATGTCTTAAATACAATATAAATAGTTTCTGACTGATGAATTTTATCTACAGGTAGTGTTTTAAGAAAGTTAGCTAAGTCATAAGATGATTGTTACAGCGCTTAGAACAGACTTGAATAAGCACAAAAAGTCATTTCAATCGCCAGTGTTTTTTCAGTCCTGATGATGAACTCATAGTTTGAAAACGTTCAAAATTTCATACACAATTCTTTCTCTTTTGACATTGCATAAGTCTTATTAATGTTATTAGTATTATCAGTTATTATTATCAGAAACCTATAAGGGACTTGAAACGTGTAGTCATCCATTGGAATATTCAAATCTAATTTGCATCTCATTTCCTTATTTGGAACAATTCAATTTACCCTATAGCCAACCAGAATGGGCCTTCAATCTCTTATCCAACAGCTGAATTTTCCAATTAATATGGTCATAACGTTCATTTTGGAATTTTTAATGATCTTTGAATATTCCGACTTGGCACTAAAGAAATGTACGGGCGTTACATGTTTCAAATCCCTTATTGGTTTCTGTTATTATTAATCATTATTAGCTCTTCTACATTTGCCTTTTCTTAAACTGCTCTGGCTGAGTGACAGTTTTAGACACTAAATAAGAATTAAGTAGTGGTAGATGAACTTTATTAGCAAGCCTTGAAGTGAATGACAATAATGAGAATGTGAATAACAAACTTACAGCTTCAAATTGTCCAGTGAGGAAGAGAACTTGGAAATATAAAAATGGCTGCTGATATGCCCCAAAATGTGCTTCACCTAGGAAAGAAATATCCTGATAAACTTAGCATTTGTTTATTTCCAATGGCAAAAAATAGAAATTGGAACTTAAATGACTCAAATGAGTTTTCTCACCAAACTGTTCAAGCAAAAGGCTTTGCAGCTGTGAAAGTGTCATTTCATCTTGGGAACTAGTATCTTGGTTCACGCTGACAAGACTCAACTAAGGAGACAAAAATAATAATTAATAATAATAATTGATTGCTTGTATGGCACAAATTCAAATGTGGATCACCTTCAACCACAAGTAATCATCAGTTTTAGTAGCAATTTCTTGGTGGTTATCAGCAAGGTCGCAATGTCCTATCAAACAGTAAACAGCCCTGAAAAGAGGCATTAAATGTCAATATTGTTAAAAAATATTGTAATAGTTCATCAATACAGTTGCAATAAAATCTTTTTTAGAATCTAAGAATCATCAATGGTCTGAATATTAAGAAACTTAAGTCAATCCGTTGAACTGACCTTTTAAATGGGTCATGACTTGTGCGAATAGATCTTCTGTACTGGAGACGAACTTTACTTTCTGTACTTGGACTCAACCTGCAAAGAATGCAGAGAACCAGGATTAAGCCAATGCATTGCTAGCAATAATATTACAGCAACATATTTTGTCTTACCTTCTTTCCTTATTATGAATATACTCTTTGAAAAACTCTTTAAACTCACCAAGGTATTGTCTGAAACATTTGAAAAAATCTTCAAAAACCTCATACATAATTAATGAGTTATTAGGCCAATAGAATGAGCCTATTTGGTCACATGCATGGACCTTTATATCTGATAAAACACTCCTTATTAGTATTCTTTATATAAAAAATATTTTTTATCAGATATAAAGGTCCATTACCCTAGCAAAGGTCCCAGGTTTGATACCTTATCATTGGCCAATGCAGGATGTCTGCGCTTCTATTTTACTTTATGCGTATTCAATGTGGGATGACAAGAGCGCTTTGTTACATGTAAGTGATTCGTGCATGATCAGTTTGCCTGATTTCTCTAGAACCTTAATTTTACAGCAATTTCTCCAAGAATTTTAACAGATTTGAGTTTCAAATTAGTGTTGGAGTTTTTGAAGCCGTTTAAAACACTCAAGATGGTGTTTTATCAAGTACATGTATATTTTACCTGATAAAACACACTCTCTCTCTCTTTTAAACTATACATAATGTCCACAAGGTTTAATGTGTGTTTTTAAAACTGATTGATTTGAGTAGATACTTACGGCACATAGTCCATGACTTGCATGGCTGCTTGCGGGTCACCACATCTCATACAAAAGTAAATCAATGGCCACACTGGTGTGCCGTCTACATCGCCATCCTGCAGAAAGAAGGATAATCCAAATACCATAATTTATTTATCAAATTCATTAATAATTCATAAAGTTGCCATGACCGCATCTTTATATGAGCAAGAGATTTGTCCTGATTTGCATACGACTTTAACTTCAATTTTCTCTTACAAATGATATTTTTTCCTGAAGTTTTTTTCTAAATATGCTTTACCTTATGTTGGAATTTGATAAGCAATATAAAGTATTCGCGTCCGACCTTTATGAGCTATAAAACTGCTCGCTTGCAGCTCACAGTTTTAAATGCCCATAAAGGTCTTCTGCTCATATTTTATATATTACATACAATTTTTTATTCATTTGGTAATTTTTAAGCATCATGATGATAAACATACTATCATATTAATGCAGGATGTACATTGATTAAATGATGAATATGTGGAGGAGAAATGGATGAATAAATGATAGAATGGAAGGATATCAAAAGCACATTAGCAAAATACATAACTTACATGTACATGTACAAAAGTCATGAATTATTTTATCAAATTTATTGTATCTCATGATACCAAAATTCAAAGGGTCATGGTCCACTAGCATGCAATGCGTTCGTGTTTTAGATTTTTCATATATGGAAAATGAGGTGACTTCGAATATCAATTTGCAATCCGTTTCCATCCATCGGTTTAACGGTCAAATCTTAAAGCATCTCCATTCATATAGGATAAAGGAATAATAAAGAGTAAGTGTTTTGCTTATATTACGATGTATTTCTATTTTCAAACATAAATAAAAGCTCGAAAGGGATGCTGGTGGACCATGTCCCTTTAAACTTACTTCTAGTCCTTGGAAGGTTTGTGGTAGTTTAACTTTTAAGAAGCTTCTAATCAGGTTCAGTGTGCCTGGTATTCCTCCGAGACGAGATTGTTGTAAATTATCATAAACTGTCTCTTGAACATAGGTTTTGTATCTAAAAGATGACAAATAAAGTTAATATATTAAAAAATAAATAATATTTACTGTTTGTAGTGCTGGTTAAAATTAAATGAAAAGATTTTTTCTGGCTTCTTTTCCAGTAGTAGGCTGCATTCGCATTTCAATTTATTCTCTCCAACTACTGAAGGACATACTGTATATATATATTTATCTATCCGACTTGAGCCAGGTCTACGTCCGCTTTACATTAAGGGCTAACCCAGATACGACTGCTCCCATGTGGCTTTGATAGCTCAGTTGGTASAGCATTGCACCGGTATCGCAAAGGTCGTGGGTTTGAATCCCGTTCAAGGTCAGATTTTTTCTGGCTTCTTTTCCAGTAGTAGGCTGCATTCGCATTTAAATTTAAATGAAAAGAAGTGGCTTATGAAAAGTTACGGCCAGTTATAGTGCAGTTGAAGTTCTACTGTACCTTTTCTCGAAAAAATTTCTTGCCTTTTCCAAAAATTTGATTTGGAAATCAGGTGAAGACCTAGAAAATATTGGAGTTCATTTTAATTACACCAAACAACACTTTCCATTTAAGTATAGCTCACAAACCTCAGTTTTTGTGGATGCCCTGTGTTATTCTGTAATTCTTTCAAATTTTCAATAAACTCCCACACATCAACAACATTCTGGGAAGAAAGAAGGCTTATGAGTATTGCTGATGAATTATCAAGTCTATTTTTCAAGAATTTCATCATTATATAATCACTATAAACAAACACAAGCATGAAATGCTTTTGGGGTGCCGTATGAATTCTATCAAAATGTAGTTATTACAACAAGTTACTATAGGAATTACGGTCATCTCGCCCCATTGCCATCTCGCCCCCACCATCTCGCCCCCACTATTCCATCTCGCCCCCACTATTCCATCTCGCCCCCACCATCTCGCCCCTACTTTTTATATAGACCTTATTGTCCATCTTGTCAGCGATCTCTAAGAATCCTAAGACTATGTCATGCTGTCGTCCTTGAAGTACAGACTCATTGTGAATGTAGACCTGTGAATGGTAACAATGTTTACACTGTAAAATACATCATACAATCTTTCAGTCTATTCAAAGTATATTTGAATTATGTTACATGTACCTGTCTGGCATATGCAAGTTCCATGGCATCCAAAGCACTTCGGCCCTGCATGCTGAGTGAGCTGGTAGAGAAAACCTGCAGACAAAAATAAAAAGAAATATTTTCCATATCAATAACACAAAAAGACTGTGTCAAGTAAAGACTACCAAATTCTCTTTTTGAAGAATAAATTTTCAATCCAAGAGTCCTGATTTACCTCTGGTTCAGAGGGGAAACCGAGAGTTTCCTGCCCAGCCCCAAGAAGAGAATTCAGGATTTTTTCCTTTTCCTTCTCCCATTCACTTTCCATGCAATTCCACTGGTGTCTCTCTGACTGACTGAATGTCTKTACAAGAAAAGAACAGTTAAAAAAAATCAGTGTAGTGTAAAACAGTTGGTCATGTTTGATCATTATGTTGACATTGGAATAAAATAGTAACCACTACAAACTTAGGATCCATAAAAAAAAGATGAAGACAAAAACAAGAATATAACATAATATTGTGTCTACCAATGACTTACATTTTTTCTTGCTTCTTCAATAGCAGAAAGAATAGCATTTTCTCTTTCATTTCTCAAAAAGCCCTAGATGATTGATATAGTAGAAAAGTTACGACCTCTGAAGGCACAAATTTACTGTGGTCTTATATTTCAAACATTTCGCCCATGACGGCTTCATCAGTGAATGTGTATTTTAAAGTGGTTTTATGAGAGTTATACATTTAAAGACTGAGCTCATTGTTTGTTCTACTGAAAGAAATATATCCTATATCCATAAAAAGATTGAGCTTATATAACTTATCAATATTATTATTACATTTACAAATCATTCCGTCAATCAAAGGTTACCTGTATATCTGTTTCTCTGACTGGTTCCAAAGGCTCAAACGTTTTGGTTGTATCGAGTTGCTCTAGTTTTTCTGATAGCTTAGGGACATCAAAACCCTTTGATCCCAGCAGAATAGACCTATATATATTATAAAGAACACGTTATCTAATGACGTTTGTATACACTACAAGCAGAGTCCCCAAAAACTCAAATGAAGACTGTGGAGATTATTAATAACTTGGCAATTTCCATGACTTGCTCAACAGTCCTTACTATTGAAGTCACAATACTTGCTGGGCCAGGTATATAGTAAACGTCTTGATTTTGAATTTGAAAAAAAAAAACATACTTTACTGGTTTTGGTGGCAATTATCAAAAACCTTGAAGAAAGACAAAACAAAGACAATACACAGCCCCTACGTCAAATTGTTCATTCCATTTTTGGATGATGTTTCATATCATGCTATGTCTTGTCCAATAAGTTCTTTAATAATTCATATATGTTTTTCAATCGATATTGAACAATCATTCACTGTGTGTACACATTATAGCGTACGTACAGTGAAGCCAGTCTATTGATTAGCCAATCAAAATACACTAAGACATCTTCGTACTTACGCCTTGACATCAGCACTGTCACTCACTGTACCACTAGTTCTCGACCACAGCCGTGTTCCTGCTTCTGCCAACTGGTGTAGATTGAGATCAATTCGCGGTAATTCTCCGCCAGTATCCATGTCTGCCGTTAGCTGCTCGGCTTGTTGCAACAAGTCTCCGAACGTAGAAGACATTTTGACAGTTTCCTTAATCAGTATTTAAATGAGTTTGAAAGGAATTAAAAAATACAAGGATGAATAATTGCTATTTTTGTGTTCCAAGGATCTATTTCAGGGTTTTTTGTCTGTAGATAATCTCAATTTTGGTTGTTTTTGAGCCAGTTTAACGTAAAATATCAATCTTGTTCAAAATATCCGCCATCTTGTCCCGCCATGTGAATCGAAGCTGTTTTGAGCATGCGTAAATCCAGAATAACACAGGCATCCCACAAGTCATCTTTATTATGATAACTGAATGACAATGATGATTGTTAATGATTATTTTTCATCCTTCCCTGTCAAATATATAATTGCTGGATGTATTCAGACTCTAAAGACGTTGAACATTAATTTCCAAACGTATTGTTTTCACAGTCACTGTGGCAGAAGGATGCTAAAGAAAGTTCTGCAGGGATTGAGGGGAGCCGGAATTGTCTAAGATTATTGTACTGTGTCTTCATGTCTGTTGTCATGTCAATGTGAGGGTATTGTATACATTTGAAGTGTGTACTACTATCTATCATACTATTATGTTTGGTTTCTTAATAGGGGTATGTAGCTTCTGCTCCATTGTTTTGATCTGTTATAATTATATTGAATGATGTAGTTTGTGCTTCTGCTTTCATTCCAGTAAACACAGAACAATACAAAAGGAACCCATTTAAAAGAGGAGAATTTGAGGCTACATGCATGTTATACAACAGTCAAAACCCAGAGAGAAGAACCCCTTTCAGTGACAGTAATCAATCCCAAAATGTTCAATTTAAATATACAGTATGTATTGCCATTTTATATTAAGCTTATGTTGATACAGCCATTTTATTAGCGTTGTTTTTTTACAGTTTGTAAATGCAGCCCATCSTTGACTACACTGGCCTTTTTGAGCACTTGTCTGAAGTTTGAAGAATAAATTCCATGCTTACAAGGCTAGGGTTGAAAGGGAATGAATGAGAGAAATATATTACTGTATGTAACATCAAGTAACAAACTAAATATTTCTGTGAATTGGATACAAAACGAAAATAGATGAGACCTCTAAGATCAGTTTGAGGTTTGCTGTTTCTGATAAAACTTCCATATAATGTTTTTCCATATATTGTTTCTCATAAAGCTGTATCTATTCGTCTAATCTTCTACCACGGCCCCAGTTTCGTCCCCATCCTCCACCTCCATCATTGCCGTCATCCCTGGGTCTCCTGCTTGATGGTGCAATGCCGAATCCACTGACACCACCTTGTCGGTTGGGTAGGTATTTGTAACTGTTGACAAAAGAGTATATTTATCAAAATGATATAGAAAACAACTGTTTACTCTACTTTAGTCATAACATTTCAAAGAATAATCAGGAAAATACTCATGAAAAATTACCAAAATTGGCCAGGTCTGGATTGTTGAAGTCTTTGAACAAACAGACCCTTTATTGCTGTACAATCTTCCTCATTTCTATACCCTTACCCCACAATCAATTCAATTCCATGTGAAGACTACAAAAGTAAAACTACTTACAAAAAAGATGGCGTGCTAATTAATCTTGCTCCTCCAAAATCTTGTGGGTATTTGAACATGAGAAAGAAGTAAACATGGCCGACAAAAATGCCAATCAATTCCATAACACCGCTGAAAGCAAAAAGGAATGTTAGCTCACGCGAAAAATTACTTATAATAAACAATGTGATTGACACTTACCCTCCTTGAATGATCATGTTGAAGATAGCAAGAACCCAGGGAAGATACATGGCCTTTTAAGAGCAAAATAAAAGAATTTAAGAATAAGACAAACTTTACACTACAAAACCTTCCCACAAAAAGAACTTTGAAGCTTTTACATTATCATTGCATTACATATTAGGATGTTTGTGTGACAAAACGTGGCAGACTTTTTTTTTCTCCAGAAACTGATCACACGATGCATTGAAAATCAAGTAGGCAATGAAAAATCTTCAGAAGTCTATTACTCTAAGCCAGTTCCTACGGCACACTGTTACATGTACCTTAAATTGCATGCCAAACCAAAACTGGACTATTGTTTCTTTATTGACTTGACACCAGACGTACAGAACACTGAGTACAAGGGGATCCATTAGCAGCTGAAAGGGACAAAATGCTAATGATTATTATCAGTTTAAGAAAAGAAATCAAATAATACATTCTAGATAGCAATTGTTTCTTACTCTTAAAGTTGCTGCAAAACCAATTATCTAGATTTGAAGTCAAGGAGAATTAATAAATGATGAGAATAGAGAAAAAGAGTCAAAGAATAAACCAAAGAGAATCAGTTCAAATGTTCAAATGTTTATTTAAATAAATGATTAAATGGATGGGTGTCTGAATGAATGAACAAATGAATGACAGATAGCCAAATTAAAGGCCCAGTTTGCACCATTATGCTTTGTGCGCCTCTGTTATTGTTATGATTACACCAAAATACTTCTAAGTATCCAAATATCTATCGCCATAAAACGAAGTAAGATGGTTGAAAATATTATTGTTTAAAGTGCTTAGAAAAGTGAGATGGTCAAACATTCAAAATACACAGTACAATTTATAGACTTTCGGTAAACTGAAAATAACTTCCCGAGGGCCCCAAAGCATAATGGTGCACACTGGGCCTTTAAATACATTAGTGACAAAAAAGCTGGATGAATAGATATCTGAATGAATAAAACACTTTTTCCTTGCTCCCCTTTACTCACAGAAATTACAAATGGATAAGATTTTCAATGAAAAGGGAGATTAAATAAAAAAAAATAAAGAAAGAACAAATATATAATTCAATATAGGAGGATAACATTCATAGATTCAAAACTATTTGACTTAAAAGGATACAATCAATACAAGGCCATTGAAAAGCAACATAAATAAAAAGTCTGCAGGCCTTCCATCAAATAGACCTGAAAATAACACATAATTTTTTTTAAATTTTTTAACTTATTAGCTTTACCCCTAGTTGGGCAGGGACACTGCAACAGCATGAGCCAATTACTGCTGACCCTGTACTCTCACACTCACTACCTCTACATTAAGTACTTTAGCAAACAACACTCCTTACATGTTGATTTTTACTGAGGGAGGACAACCGGAGGACCTGGAGAAAAACCCTCGTGGCAAGGGAGAGAACAACACATCAAACAAACTCAAACTCACATATGGTCCGTGCCCGGGAATCGAACCCGGACCACAGTGGTGAGAGGCCAGTAGCTTATAACCACTACGCCACCCTTGCCACATCCTCACTTCTTAAACAATTCTCAAACATAGTTTCTTTTTTGCAAGCTTCTTTACCTGATTCCAATCTTGTGGAATATGAATATAAAAAATATAAGTTAATTAGATAGTGAAAGCCAGTCTGTGGCGATATGGGATAGTATACAAAACATGTGAGAAGTCTCCAAATCTGAAATGGTAAAGAAACATTATATTCAATGCATGAATATTGTCTTTGTAGGCTTTTATGTGTGGATGGGAAGGGTAGGGGGTGCTGGAAAAGACTGAGGGGGAGTGGGGGAGAAAAATGTTGGAAGAGAGGAAAGGAGAGAGCTTTAGCCTCTTTTAATGAAAAATAGGGATACAAAGAAGAAATCCGACTTAAAATGCTCGACACTAAACGGCAGAATAGAAATAAAGTAGTCTAGTCTCTTATCGCAGCCGTTAAAGTTGGCTCTTTCCCTAAAAAGTTGCGAGAGCAGACTCCAGAATTAGAGTTAAAAACGACTATATAAATCTATGTAATCAAGACCCAAAATTGCATAACCCACCCTTTGACAGCTTTTCCAGTATTTCGTATTCGTATGGTAACCATCGTTCATAAAATAACACAACATTTTCGAACAATAACTTCATAGATAGATGTAAATAAAGGGTTGAGTTTTCACTTCTAACTCTTACCTGAAAATTATATATAACTAAACCGAAGTCCAACAACATATAGTAAGCATTGATAAGTCCAATTCGTCCAAGAAGAGGAAATATTATTGATAATGAGAACCAGTATCTAGTTATAATCGGAATTCCGCGAAACCAATCTCCAATGTCGTTTTCTGCCGCCATTTTGTCCTTGAAAAGTTAGTTTTTCAGAAGGTAATCTTTAAATATCGACTGTTATACCACGGAGTTCTTCTACAGATAGCTTGCAAATGAATGTGCCTCTGTGGTTGGTGTTGATTGGTGGGTTTTATAAGTGAAATTTGTAAATTTTATGACACAGCTATTTTGTACTCAGACGTGGCGATAATATGGACGTTCATTACCCGCAATGGATTCTGGACAATCACCAGATGTCTTGGACAATGGATTTTTAGCCTTCAGCCTAAGTATTCTTCATTTCTTGATATTACTTTTCGTATTTTCAATCCATATATTCTCTCCAAGTAGAAATGATAAGTTATTTAGAATTTTGGAGGATAGATACGTAACTATTATGCACGATTCATTCATCTGTCTCTCTCGCTGTTTGTCGAATCCGACGTCTAAAGAGGCGAGAGAGACAGTCTTTTCACCTCATCAAAACTAGAATCTACATAGGCTGCCCAACTATCTATCATAGAAAAGAAAAGCGTGCGCGTATGGCGCACAGAAAAAAATGATTTTGAGTATGATAAAATTAGGCGTCAGAAAAGGTCAATAAATGTGCTCTAACTCAACCAAAACCGCCCCACAAAATTAGAACTGGATATTTTCAAACGAAATATGTCAAAATAGCTAGGCTGAGGAATTCCCCAATTTGTACACGAAAAAAATTAATTAAAGCAAACTATAATGTCTTGGGCTGTCACTCAAAGTCATGTTTTGGTAAACAAGCGCATTTTCAACAGTCTAAGATTTGGTTAACCGACCTAGCGATAGTGGACAAAATAAATAACAACTGACTAGTGAGAAATTTGAACAAAATTTGCTGACGTCCGACAAGAACATATTTACTGACTGGAGACTGGCGACATTTTCCAATATATTTTTTTTTCGGTCCGGTATCCTAGTCATTCGCGCGCTGTGATTGGCTAGCGCGCGGTCCGGTTTTTCACGATCTGCCCGTTCCACGGTATTCTGCAGCTAGGCTGTGAGCAAAGTTGCATAAATTACAAATAAAAAATAAAAATATTATTTACCGGCTATTGGTAAGTCGCTGGGCTCGTTTAGTATACTGTCAAGACCTCGGGCAGTGTTTTCCTATACGGACCTCCCACCCGGTAAAAATCAAAGGTATTAGCTCCTTGAATACAAGTTTTCGTATTTTTCAAGCAACAGCTACATTCGAAGAAAAATATATTTTGCTTCGGATTGGCTTCTTGAAGGAGGTCTTGAAGTTTTGCATCTTTGACACTTGGTAAAAAGTCGCCTGAACTAGGATATAAGCTAGCTATGCTCTGATAGCCTGTGTCATGCTCTGACTGTACTTTCGCGGGTTTGTACGAAGGAGGCCATTGACCAATGAAGAATCAAGGATGTCGCGTTCACCTGACTGACACTTGCTTGTTCTTTCCATTATTTGAAATTTGAAAGATCAGACAGTCACAAAACCTGGCATAACAGAGGCTCCAACAAACAACCATCTTATTCTGGTTGCTACAATAAAGGATTACGTCATAAAGATAAGTAACGATAAACAACATCATCATCATCAACAACAACAACAACAACAACAAAAATAGCAACGAAAGAAATAAGACAAACAAACAAACATAAGAAATGGATCAAATATCGAGTTTTTCCTCTTCGCACATTTCACCATCAGGCGGAATTTTTTTCAAAAGCTGTAAACATGGTAAAGATTGCGATTAAGTTTACTAATTCAAAATCCAGTTAACACTTATGTCAGCCTCACTGACTTCAATATAAACCAATCGCAAACGATGACTATTGTTTTTCATTTGGATAAGCAGGCTGCACAAACAGTGAACATTGATAGCAACATGTTTAGTTCAATTTGTTTCAAACTCGACTTTATAGGAGGTAGCATTCACATAATTCACGTCTAATTAGCCAAAAGATGTTTTACAGCTTGGGCCTAAAGTCGTTTTTGACCGATGTTTTATAAGTTGCTACCGAGGACACAAGATGAGTTTTTTGCCTTAGTTTATGTGTATTGAAAATTCACGCATCCTTTTTTTTTCTCTTATGGGAAGTCTTCTCAATTGTTCCTATTTCACTTATTACTGACCTATTCTTGCGATTAGCCATGGTTGACATTTTATACTCCTAGCTACGTCAGCAGCTGTGTGCGTAATAGAAATTAGTGTCTGATTAGTTATTCAAAGAACGACAGCATAAAACATTGTGCGTAGGTCCTATACAGTACTGCCAGTGCTTGTCATACTAGGGTATGAATGTCAGCAGTATATATACTGATAGCTGTGATAGAATCGCTGACAAATTTACTTGATCAAATTACTGGGATACGATAAGATGAAGGAAATACCCGAGAGCAGTACTATTGCTGTTGTGATTGAGGTTACAATTCTTCTAGCTATCAACGCGGTAGCGTTTTTTGGAAACTTTCTTGTCTGTTTGGCTTCGTTTCGAAACCATCGCCTTCGTACCACCACCAACTTGTATGTGATAGCTCTTGCCATTTCTGATATTTTAGCGGCTTGCATCACTATGCCGCTAACGTCTGCAGCCATCATCAAAGGACGATGGATATTTGGTCCCGTAATTTGCGGGATACAGGGGTTTTTCGTTCATTTTCTTATCTATGCGTCTATGCACACCATGGCTTTAACCGCTATCAACCGTTATTTTCGCATCGTCAAACCCCAGAAATACAAAACGCTTTTTGGCGGGAATCGAGCTGCCATCTTTCTTGCTCTTGTATGGATTCTAGTGGCCTTCATTGTTGGTTTGCCCCCAGTTCTTGGCTTCGCGCAGTTTGACTTTCGTCCAGGTTCATCGCTGTACATGTGTATTTTGTACTTTGACAGCAAGCTCGGTGAAGTGACTTTCTTGTTGGTCATAATCTTTTTGTATGTAGTATGTTCTCTTGTGGTCATGGCCGTGTCATACATCCAAGTATCTAGAGCTATCCGCTGCCACAATCTTCAGCTAGGACACACTATTTACCTTAATAAAAGACTTACAGGAATCAGTGTTGAGGAAATTCGCATCACGAAGACGCTTTTTGTGTTGGTTCTTGCCTTCACGATATGCTGGATCCCTGTTTATACCGCAGTGGCCATCATTAGATCAGGGTTGGGTTCTTTGACTCCAATAGGATCTCTCTTTGCAACATATATAATCTGCATCACGAGCGCTATCAATCCATTTGTCTATGCGTTCAAAAATAAAGCATTTAGAGACGAATTCAAGCAGATTTTAATGTGTTTTACTTCTTGTAAAGAACGCGTCTATCCTCGAGAAGAGTTAGCTGAGAATCGACCGATGGTGTTGTTGTCACAGAGACTTAATACTCAATCAATAAACAGTGAAAAACAAAGATAGTTCATGGGAAACTCTTTTCGTGCGCTCCATTTCTTGATAAACATATCATTGAACAAATTTGCTACCATCTAATCAAAATAAGCACGCATGTACTTGAATCGTAAAAGGGATTGATAAACTAAAAAACAGTACTGAAACGCAAGTGGGAACTAGATACTGGAAGTTGCATTGTGTCAGCAATAAGGCCGGTTATGGCCACTTGGTTTGATATAGTTACTCCGGCATAGTTTTCAGTGCCGGATCCAGCCGGGATTTTTCAAAGGGGGGTTCCTCTTTGTTTTCGCATTTTCCTAAAACGAACTTTTTTACTGTGTCTCTCGAACTGTAGCAAATGTAGTGTGAATGTATTGAATAAAAATTCATTGTACGATGCGTTTTCATTTTATTTCATTTATCATTTATTTTATTTTTTATTTTTTTTTATGCTTGAGGGGGGTTTCTAGGAGCCCATGGAACCACCCCCCCCCCTGGATCCGCCACTGGTTTTGATAGTGATGTGTTCGTTGAATGAATCATTCAAGTCTTTAAGTATAATTTTATTTTATATTAAAAATTATCAATACAAGTAAATTCAATTTGATCTTTAAAGTTTCAATAAAAGGCAAGACGATCCTTGTGACCTTAAAAATACCTAGCTTTCTTGATCAGAAGAGGGGAATTACATATAATGTATATTATAAAAGCAATATGTACTTGCGCGGAATCACTAAATAACACTCCTTTAAAAAAATTGATGATATCATCCTTTCAATCCTCCTGGATATAACGTAAATAAATTGTTGTACTGACATTTTCATATGATATGACCCACAGGAAGAGGAAATTGTCATTGTTGAATTGGGATTTTAATATTGATTCGTATAATACGTTGACTGATTGATCACTTATTAGTTACACTTTTAAGTCAGAAACAACGTTGACTCTCTAAAGAATCTCTAAAAGACACCAAACAAGACCTCGTCGTGTTAGAAACAATTGTCAACAACAAAACAATGCAAGCTGCAGTTTTCAAAGATTTGCTCGCACACTTTGAAAAAGGCTTGATTATCATACTCTCTTTTAAGCGCATGCATTTATTCTCGCTTAGATCCAAAGCAGTTCCGTTTCCGTGCTTGTATTACTGATATTCTAAACTAAAACAGTTATTATTGTATATAATCATATGCTTATTTCAAGAAAAGTGCTCGCGTTTAAGAACTCAATTTGCGCAAACAGATCGAGTTTTGTGCGATTTAACCTTGCGTGGTGTTAAGTGAATAATATGTTTATCAGAATGAAGATTTGTACATATAAATATTTATACATACGTTTAGTTCTATATCATGAAGCTATACAGTTAAGAGCTACTGATGTCATTCATTGCCAGTTGTTTTTGTTTGTTTTAATTTGTTTTTACTTTTTGTTTTGTGACTAAAGTGAATCTTCTTCATGGTTGTGTCTTTAATTCATGACTTTTTTTGCCAGGTGGCATGGTTTGCCCCTCTGATCAATATTGTCAGCTAGCTGTCAGGATAGGAGTGTCATGTGTAGTAGTTGTAATTGCAGACGTAGTGAACCTGAGTGTATGAAGAATGGTACAGTGGACATAGGTGAAGATTAGCTTAAAGTGAATTGACATCGCACTAAACATAAAATAGAGATTACTCTATTTATATATTTTGTCATTATTGTTGTTGTTGATGTTGTTGCTGTAGTTTTTATAGCTAGTGTTGTAGTGTTGATGCTGTTGCTCCGTTTCTTCCCACCTTTCAAGGGTTGACATATACGGCGTTTGTCAGATTCTCCTCAAAGAAATTCATCTTGTTCATCGCGGCTTTTTTTTTTGTGTGCGGACAGATCTGATTACAACACAAACTTTCTTAATTTTGATATCTCTACAAAGCACCGGAGTAGTAAACACTGTCGTTGTTTTAGTATGACAAACGGAAGGGTTCCGATGACAAGATATTAAAAGATTTGGCTGAAAACACCTGTTCCATACATTGCCAACTTAAAATGATACACACGTACTATTTTTGAAGATTCAGAAATCCGTCATGGAGTTAAAAAAGGCATACTATTACACAAAAGATCTTATTTATCGATGCTTTGTCTTTTTGACGGGATAAGGTTGTATTGTAGTTTTTCCTTTTTCTTACAAAGGAGACAGTGAAGAAAGAAAGAGAAAGAGGCTCGTATGTCAACAAATGAAAGTGTTTCCAACTAGACATTTATCTAATGTCTTTTTGTTTGATCAATTATGAATCCACATCCCGGAATTGCCCTATTTCATTATGACGTCACATCAAAACATTCTATTGTTTTGACGCTAAGGACTATTGTCGCCAGTGATCAAAGGTACTAAGTATAAAAAATAAAATGTACATGACATATTTCAAAACAGGATACATCTAAGTTCTACTTTCGGAGAGAATATAAATAGATCCAAATTTCCACTGTTTTTGAGCATCATACTCTGACGTCATAATGAAATAGGGCAATTCAACAAAGCTGGCTAATTGTTATTTTCTTTATTTCTATATTTTGTATTTGTCCCGTTCTCTTCCTTTGCATCCTCACAAACCATTTCGACGTCTTTCGATCGACTACAGCGACGTGCTATACGCTCGAGAACGATCTCTGGTCGAACCAACGGCGAATTTCTTTTGAAAAACGGCTTCCTTCTGGACAAAAACGTTTTGTTGTCAACTTTGTTTAAATGGGATTCCTGTGGGGTGTTTGCTTTTTTGAAATGAGCAGCTGGTACGTTTATTTCATAGGGTCGCAGAGTTCTACCGAATGATGGGCCAGCTTGTCTTGAATTTACGTCCCTAGGATTACAGACCGATGGCCCTAGTAAAGATCGGCTGTTGTGAATGACATGGGCTTCCTTTGGTGCGCGTTCTGACCTGCCACATCCTTTTTTTAAAATCCTTTTAAACTCGTTCCTAAACGTCCTATGGTTGAAGGCATAAATGTAAGGATTAATGGCAGACGATAAGAAGATTAAGTAAGTGGTGATAAGCGAACCTGTGTTCGTTAAACTACCACCAAGTCCTGATCTTATGATGGACACCACCGAATACACAGGGATCCAACATACTATGAACGCCATTACTAAAATAAAAAGAGTCCTTGTTATCTTAATCTCCTCAACGCTGACATTTGCTATCCTTCTCCTGTTCATGACGGTCGCTTGAAGATTAAGTTTGTGTTGTCGCATGGCACGTGAGACTTCCACATAAGATGCAATGATCAAAGACATTGATAAAATCACAAAAAACATCAGAACCAACAATAAAAAAGTAATACTTCCAGTTGTTGTATTGAATTCCAGAATACACATATACAAAGCGACCCCCGGCTCAAACTGAAAACGAGCCCATCCTAACAAAGGTGGGATGGACACAAACAGTCCAACGAAGACCAACACTAATGCTATGAGGATCAACGGCCGACGCCCTCCGAATACCGTCTTGTAGTACTTTGTCTTCACAATACGAAAGTAACGGTTAACAGCCGTTAATGCGAGAGTATACATGGACGTATAGATCAAAAAGTGAGCGAAAAAACCTTGGATTTGACAACCCAAAACTCCAAATGCCCACTTTCCTTTCATGATCGAGCCTAGCGTCATAGGAACCGTGATTGTAGCCGCTAGTATATCGGTAACAGCCAGAGCTATTATGTACACATTGGTGCCTGTACGCAGACGTTGATTGCGGTAGGCGAGACACACCAATAGATTTCCTGCAAATGCGGCAATATCGATAATCAAAAGTACTGCTACCTCGAGAATCAAAATCCCAATACTTGTTGGTGGTATTGGTAGAAACATGGCTTGACTTGAGCTTGAGTAATTCATGAAAGATGATCGTTCTTCTCTGAGCAGCTGTTAATCTTGGTATGCGACAACTGCAACTCCTTTTAGGCTTTTTTAACCTTGCTCAGACGTTTAAACAGAAGCGTTTACGTATAAACACTGAACACTTGGTAAAACTGATCCTTGTTTAGTGAAAAAGTGTGCTCAACGTGTATGAATTTGAAGCTGGTTTGATGAGTCACATGACATCCTTTATCATGCTTTATACCAATGACATTTTTGTCAGAATTGTAAAAAAAAAGACCAAAAAACCCCGAAGACTGGAATAGTTCTCGTAATGCGTCAAACGTTTGTTCGGATATCTTCTGATCTAATTACTTTGCTGTCTGTTCATCCCACGACCGATCTATCTTTCTCAATCTGTCACTATTAAAGCGACTCAAGACTTAATGGAGACTCTGCGTTTTCCGTCAGTTTAGGATTAATGATGGTTCTTACGCACTTCTCAATGTTGCAAGAGAGCCAAGTATCCAAGTTTATTTGGCTCAGAGTAACTCAAGTACAAATGTCACTCAAAGAGGATTTTCCAACGCTTTTCAAGTTATAAATTTATACCTTAAGTCCACTATGAATGTTTTCAATTTGAAACATAGTCAGAAGCTCTTAATTGGCGATTATCCTCGACTCCGCAGAGCTCTAAGTACTAGGGATAGTCCAATCCGTTTTCCCGCTGTTTTCTAATAAGCTTCACCATTACGTAGCCATTACGTGTACTACGTTTTGATTCCTTAATCGGTATATCAGATGAGACCGAAGGTTTTCTTCACACCAGTTTCACAATGTTTGCTACAGGTGTTTTAAAGAGTCGAAGGCGCTCTTGGAAGAAGATTTACCAGATATCCAAGGAAAATCTCTCACACTAATATTTAATTTGGCATTAGGACTGACACTACTTGTACGCCAAGCTAATAAACCTGTTTACTTTAAAAAATGGAAACTATACTTATCATTCCTTGTTCAATATATATATTCTGTGCGTCAGTCAAACTTGAAAAGGTTCAAATTGCGGATGCCATTATATATAGTAAGCACAATACATTCTCTTATTAAATTATTATCAGCCTTCAATCTAAACAATGTATGTTGATTCTATCAATTTACAAAACTCGTACAGAAAGTAGCAAACAGAAGATTCCATAGAGCAGTAAATTATGGAAACACTAATTTGGAAGGTGTCTCAATGGCATTGGCAAAAAGCTACTTATATTATTTTGCCGAATACAATGCATTCCTATATTTATTGATACCAGAGATATTATCATTTAGCATGATATTGCAAGACTTTTTAGGAAAGTTTCTCTCACTTTGAATTGAACTTTTTATTTGTATTTCTATCTTTATATTTTGCTACAAGAACTTAAACCAAAAGGGATGCTGTTCCACACGTTGTAGTCGGTCTTCTTTGAATTAGATACCCATCTTGCCAAGTGTTTCTTTTAAAGAACAGGAAAATTGAATGGCAAAGATGTTATCGTATTAAGAATCTCGTCCAATAGCCTTTATATTTCGTTACTAATAGACCTAGCTTTTGTAATTGCTCCTTTTTTTCAGATTCGTTGTTTTTAATCGTTTTGTTTTGTATTTTATGTTTGCCTATTTATTACAAGTTATTAGGAATTGTCAGCTGTACGTTTGTTCTCATTATTTGATTAAAGTACTAATAATTCAAACAACGTCCTGGAGCTGACAGAACCGTCAATCTCAGCACCCTTTTGATTTGCCATTTTGTAACAATTTGAAAAATTGCCAATTCAAAATGAATTATTTTGGAAATACATGTACAATGAGAAGCGCGCACAGAATAGCCATTCTTCTAATATTCTCACTTCATCTTTGAACATTCAGTAAAGTGATTGTTACGTTCTTACTTACATCACGTTAACATAGTAATTACTCCGTCTTACGCCGAGAGTAACCACAAAAACTCGAAAACGGATTGCAAAGGAGGGAGTCCGTTCACAACAGTCTTAAGGATTCTTGATATAAAATTCGTTTTGATTTTAACAGATTTATTAAAACTTAATCACAAAACTAGCAGTCTTCAATCAAGAGGTGGATATTGTTTTCAAGTCGCCAGCGACTTTTTTTAAAAGGTGTAAATACAATTCCTAAACTAAATTGTGTGGTCCTTCACGAAAACAAAATGTCAATCTCGAGCCTAGAGTCACTCACGGCTAATGTAAGTTTTTAAATATCATCTTGAATATAAAGAAATTCTGAAAAAACCGTACATCTGTACATATAAAATATAATTCGGAAATTTTCTGAATGTCTAAATACCCTGCTATCAATCTCTTTGCCTGCTGTCAAGTCCGACTTGCACGATGCGACTTCGTGTGACTAGGTACGGCATACTTGCACAGTGTAGATGACACAAAGACTAGACGAAAAAGGCCTAAAAACTTAGCTTAAACTTGTAAACCTATATCTAGGCTAAAAATCCAACTGTTCCAGCCATGATCACGTATAGAGGCGATTTCGTACGACTGGGAAACGGTGGTGACGAATCGCGTCCGTATCGAAGCCGTATCGTAGCTGTATCGCGTCAGCATCGGTTTCCCAGTCATACGAAATCGACTCTATGTCGGGTGTCGCGCGTCGTGTCATATCGTCTACATCGGCTTTCGAAAGCATTAAGAAACATAACACCAGACTCAGATTATCTGAAATTCGTTGAAAGCTTCCACGTCATTATAATGAAAAAAGATCCGGTGCTGTTATCCAAAAAGGAAAGCTTGGCCTAATCTCGTACACCTGCGATTTTGAGACACGAGGACGAATAAACTGATATAAATGGACTTTTGAAATATTTTGATATTGAACGCCTCATCCGCAGGCTCTTATAGCTCCCGAAGGGAAATTAAGACAATTTGAATTGATTATAATAAACTTGTACCTAACCCCCGGGGGGACTCCGGTGTGAAAAGTATCGGTGATGCTCGTCGGAAATTTTCAAAAAGACCACTAAAAGATCCCGGAAGTCTTGAAAAAAGGGCGTGGCTGACTGATTTTTAGCCCCTAGAAGAGATTGCACGACTAAATTAATCAGTTCCAGTGATAAAATTCATAGAATATTTAATGATAAAACAAAACGCAGAGGAAAATCAATATTGATGCGCTCTTTCTCTTCAATCAAGCATACGTTTTTATCATCATCTTGAGAAGAGCATTTGCATTACGATAGGATGTCTGGTGAATAAAAGAATATATATTACATGCTATTAAGGTTAAGCCTGAAAATACAAGATCTCGAAACTACTGGAGTATTGTCGATATTTGTCAGGATAATTGCTATTAAGATGGGTTAAGGTTTTCAGGTGAATTATAGTTTTTTAAGGAGGGGACATTAGAGGTAAATGCGGCGTTAATGGTGGTAATTTGCCTCTATTGAGCTCCTGCAGAGATCCGCCCCTGTAAGGAGTAGCGGAAACTGCAAGACATACGAAATCAAGATTGCACTTCACACTTTTATTGCACAAATAACAGACAACTTATATATACAATTATTATACAAATATTGCTTAGCATTCTACTTTCATATCAATAAATTGTATTTATAGGGATTTGGGACATCTTTAATGGAATTTCTCTATAAATTTACTTCATGTGTGGCATAATTTGATGTGTAGGAAGGCTCAAGACCAGGAAAGATAAGAAAATTAGCAGAAAACGAGATACTGCGCCATCAGCGCGTGGAATGACATGTCGTTACAAAGGATTCAACGACAAATTGCAACACCTTCAGTCTCCTGAGGAATTCTGGGATTGTCATCAACATTATCTGAAATGTTATCATCATCATCATTTACAAAGTAGCATTACCATTTGAATTGCCATGATTATTAGCGATGTTTATTCATCATTGGGCAATTTTTTTATCAAGAATTATAGATTCTGCAGATTTTCATAGTTGTATTCAGCGCATTATAAAGTGATATAGTTTTGTTGATTGTCTTTGATTGTCATCGTTATCATCATAAGCACTTTGACTTCTGACTGTCATCATTGAAATCAACAGGTCGTTACCACCACAACATCTTGAAAATGACCTTTCAGTCCAAAGTACGGTGGGAAAATTTTTACATTCATTATTCTTCATTGATCTAGATAAATTTATTTTCATCTTTTTCTCCCAAGGCGTTCTGCTTTTTTATCCACTCATAATTCGCCGAGAAATGATGTGAGATATGATATGAAGGTGTGTCTAGTTTAACCAATCGTTGACCATCGTTAGTAATCGATGATTAATCGTCAACCAATCGTTAGCTTGCATGATCTGGCGGGGTAATGTCGGTGATTCTATCAATGTAGTGAAGCTCAGAAGAAACGATTTTCAGTGTGTCTACACCTGAATAGAGGTCCCTAAAGAAACGGAGTGAAGACAGTTAGACTGAAGGACTCTCGCCATTAACTGACACATGTCAATCACTTCCATTCAACCAGTCAATCAATTGATCTATCGATTGAATTTCTTGACGCCTTTAGCGAAGTTCTAAGTCTACCTCTAAAATAAGCATACGCATAACCTCAAAAGTACTTTTATTACCTAAGGGCCTGCTCAGCTCTTCTAGCTGCTAAAATCATCTCATCAGATGCAGCACGTGACTTGGCTTTGATTGACGTAAGTGTTGAATGATGTGTGTCGAGTAGTTCCTGGTATGTTTCCATGGGAACCGTTTCAGTCTGGAAACAAGAGTGTTAATCATTAATATGTTTAAATAGTTTTAGACTCATGTCACAGACGATTTTCCTTGCGTCCCAGAGGATATTGTTGGACTTTGGTGATTAACATATAATATTCGAGAAAACGAAAAAGACAAACAACAACAACAACAAGAGCAGCAGAAACTACAACTTACAGCAGCAACGACAGCAATAGCAGCAACAACAACAACAGCAGCAGCAACAACAGCAGCAGTAGCAACAGCAATAGCAACAACAACAACAGCAGCAGCAACAACAGCAGCAGTAGCAACAGCAATAGCAACAACAACAACAGCAGCAGCAACAACAGCAATAGCAACAACAACAACAGCAGCAACAACAGCAAAACAGCAACAACAACGTACCTTTGCTCCTTTGATTTCTTCTTTCATTTTAATAACTTGTGCTTCAGCCTTCAATGCTCGTTTCTATGGATAATTGCATATGCAAACTAGTATTAATGATGATGATAAAGATGATGATGATAATAATAATGATAATAATAATTGTTGCTATCGTCATCACCATCATCGCCATAATGATCATTATCATGATGAAAATTATATTGATGGATAATTGTAATCACACAATTAATACAGGAAACAGTCTAGTTGCTAATTCATAGAACTGATTGGACTAAAAAAGTCCTCTTTATCCTCTCCCTCAATCCACCCTTGCTGTACATTCTAGCAATACGCCAGTTCACTAACCGTAGTTAATTCTAAGTTTTTCTCCACCATCTGGACCATGTTTTCAAGAGCAGCTGTTTCCTCTGCCTCTCTCTTCTCGATCATTGCTAGCTTTTTTTGAAGAGTGAAAACTCTAAAAATGGTTTTATACAAATGATAGTGTGAATGGCTGTTGCTTTTTACTGAAAAAAAACTCTCCAAGACCATTGTGTGTACAATTCTTGTTTAAATAACACTTTTAAAAACAGTCTAGAGTTGTTTTCACACAGACTGTGAAAGAAACATCAGCATATCCCACTTACATCCTAAAATGTTTGGTTGTTTTGTTATATCCTAGCTAATCAGCAAATTATACAATACAGTTGGGCAACGGCCTGGAGGAATTTATTCATAACCAACTAAAATGGTTCTGGTACAAAGTACGCTCATCAAATATAAATATTAACAATTACAGAAGGGAAAAGGAAAAGAAAAGGTCAACCTATGGAAGATTCTTTTAAGAGCTGTATATAAATGATTGAACAATCAGTCAAATACTAAAAGTTTGTTTTAGGCAAAAGGAAAACAGTTTAAATACTAGCAATGGTTGAATGTCATTCAATGAGAATGACTGCTAAATGTCTCTTAAGGAGATAATAGATTTTAAATTGTATTTTCTAAGTTATGGGCAATTGAAACATAGAAAATGCAAACGAAGTGACGTCTACTAAGGAATGATTTAATATACAAAATCATGAAAGAGGACCTTATTCTTTTTGTTACATTGAAAAAAGCATTTTCAGCTTTCAATTGTTACTATGATTGATGATTTGAGCACTTCAACCAAGAACAATATAACACAAACAATGTAAAAAGTCTGGACCAAAAAAGGTGTCATGTGAACTTTAAGGAATCACTGTAAAGCCAGGACTTACTTTTTTCGTTCATTGTCGCGTGATAAAGTGACGTCTTCCACTTCTTTCTTTAATTTCTTGTTATCTTCTCTAAGCTGATAGTCAAAATAAAGAGTGACTCATTGCAGAAACATAGGGAAAGTTTGTCATTTGTTTGTATTGCCTGAGGTCAGTTATAACGTATGTCTAATTGACATACGTTGACTTGCCAAAAACACACATATCAGCCAAATTCACTGAAAATTAACAGATCCTTTGGCTAGTGTTTGTTTTTCCTCATGGCTATCACCTCATCTGAATTAAATTAATTAGCAATATTCATTTTAAGCTTAATGCTTGAAATGTCAGTTTTTCTCTCTCTTTTTACAGTGTTAGTATGTTTATCTTTTTTTGCAACTTGTTTGATTTCTTTTTTTAGTTGTTGTAGGGTGGGAAAAACTGGACTTTTTACTCCTTAGAAGAAAAATAGCTTACAAACTCCAATAACATTAAAATAGAAATGGAAGAACTTTGAACTTTCTATGAACTTTCTAAGTCTTTATCTAAAAAAAAACAATGTAGAAACTAAACTTATCTTGTCACACAAACCTGATTCAATTCCTCTATTAGCAGGAGTTGTTCATGAGAGCTATTTGCAGAGGCTACAACATAATGCACGCTGCCGCTGTCAGGAGAGTGACAATTTAGTGCATTACTATGTCTCTCTTCGGTTTCAGAGTCTGAAGTGTCAGATCCAGGGGGAGTGAAGCCAAAGACATACTGTGAATTGCTGCCATTATCTTGTAGACTGTGCGCCGACATGGGCTTGACTTCATGTACCTCATCGCCAATTATCTGAAAACAGAATTGTTATTATATGGTTGAAAATAATTGTTGAAAATTGGTTGAAAAATTGGTTGAAAATATATTCCAGCAATTTTTACAAAATACATGGTAAATATTAAGGATGTATTGGTAAACATTCAGGGTCCAAAAAATATTGAGGATGCAATTGATTAGTTGGAGTAAAACTTTAATTAGTATCCATGAGTTGGTACCGTTTATAATCAAAAAGAATATATTGCTTTGTCCACCTGTATATAAGACTTATGTGCAACGCTATTATTAGTAAGTGTCATTTCAAAAATCTGTCATGAAGTGACAAGTATCCTCTCCGTTGTGGCTTCAAGAGAGTCCTATATCAATGTGAGTGTCTTATACCCTTGAGTTGATGGGTTATTTTTATAAACATAATTAGGACATATCCCATTTTAATTAGGTTTAACTAATTATTATACATAACTGCGGAAATGTTTTCATTTATCATATATATATGAAATGATTATAATTCCGAGGAAGGAAAACATCGTTTTAGGAAACCCAAGTTTTGGATTAAGGAAATGAGCATGAGTTATATCAAAGAATTGGCAAAAAGATGGTATTTAGGAAGATATAAATGTAATTTCATGTTTAGTCTAGATCTTATGTTGGTGGGAACTAGCGGTAAACTAGTGTGAGCTGTGTTGGTGTTTCTAAAGAAACAGTTGTGTAAAAAGATAAATCAAACATCGTAAAAAAGTAGGAGAAGCAACTTACTGACGTTTCGGATGTTAATCCTTCATTGGAGTAAAAGTATTGCTTTTAGATCTTATGTTGGTCTAAGTTACTATTTGAGAGATGCTATACATTATTCTTTTGATCCAGGATAAAGAGGATCTGAAAATGAACTCAAAACAGACATAGTACTTTCTTGCATGTGATCAGCCAAATATACACCAAGCATATGACAAAAAGATCTACAAGTAATTAAAGTAATTATATCAAAATGGCTAAAATTCACAAAAATGTTTGAAAAAATGACTTCCAGCAGGTATTGCTTTTATTAAGTTTCAGCTCTTTTCTTTTCTTTTTGAAAATACATTTAATATTTTTCCTTAAATTATTGATGGAAACATGACAGTTGTAAGCTATACTAATTAAGTTGCAACATCTGGCCTTGGTTGGAATATATTATATATAGTTGGTTGAAATTGTAATCTTAAAAGATGAAAATATTGACACTGTAAGATGTGTTCCTATATTACACTCTCTACATAGTCAAACAAAAACTAAATGAACAGCCTTTATACACAGGCATTTCAAATAAGGTTGTCACAGCAAAGAGTAAATCCACAACTGAAAGAGTTACAGTGGTTAGCAATTATTGATGAAAATTTTCACTTAAACAAGAGGCATCAACAATTATATAGATTTTCTTAGTTGATTTGTTTGGTTTGTAAGTGTTTTTCAGCAGACTTCAGTAATTACATGGGCTTCCTGTGGAAGCACATGTTTTGTTCTACCTTCTGTTCAATCTATCAACGTCGCGTATAGTCCCCCATGATGCTTTACKAACTTAAAAATGGTCACGTGGCCTGATAACACAGGAGACCCAAAGTCAMTTAAAACAAAATGGCTGACAGACGGCGGCAAAAAGTTGTCTCGTTTTAAATGGGTCTAAAATGTAGCTAAAATACTCTAAAGAGCTGAAAATCCAACAAAATCAACTGAATAACATCCAAATGACATGGAATAAGGTATATAATTCAAGGTTGTCGGATGATTCGTGCAGAAATGACTGGGCATTTTGAATTTTTCTACCGCCGACACGAAGAACACTAAACGTCGCCACAACAAGTGCTCGATGTCAATCACAAAATCCTCGAAAAGTAAGAAATCGCATGAATATTTAAGGTTGATACTTTGACASAAGAATAATTATTCGATGGACTAAAACATATCAAACCTCATCTGAAAAATATTGATGCCATTTTCTAAGCTGACGACATGTGTTTGGACTTGAAAACTGCACGTGTACGTGCTTTACTGAACTCTGTACAAAATCTATATTGTGTATGAAGCATTTTAATTCTTTATTAAAATTTGTTTTGATGATTGTTTAACTTGAAAAACTTACACAAGATCTTACATGATTCAAACGATCAAAATAATTTTCAAAGCTATACGAAACTGACAGAACTGCAAAGACTGTACCGTTTCTATGGTTTTATATATATCTTTCAGATATCTTGCATTGAGTATTATAGACGCGAGCGTATTTTTGAGCTAGTTATTTTGGAAAACTGAGAAAGACATGATATCTAAAGAAGTTAATTAGAGTTCAGTTCTGTAAAAAATTAATGATGTAATAAATAACTTATATTAACTTTCGATGGGATATGTAATTGATATATGGTATATAACATCAACAAATATTTTGAATAGAGCAGAGTCACTTGAACCATGAAATAGAAACTAAATACTTAGTTACTAATACTAGTAGGCACTATTTAGACACTATCACTGAACCAGAACAGTACAAAGAGATTACTTTGATTGTTATAGTGTTCTCTTGGGTATTGCTTATTGGATAAAATAAACTGTTCTGGTTCTTTGCTAACGACTATTAGGAACTTATAGTCCCTATTAGTTAGTACTTTTTAGTTCTTATTTCATGGTTCATGTGACTCTGCTCTACGAAAAAGCTATCAGCTTGCTGTGAGTATACATGTATCACTTAGGGCCTACATAAGTGTTAAACATGATCGTATCCCGACGTCACGATCGATTCAATCGTCTAGTTATTTGATCATTACAACCTGCAATATTTATAGGACAACAAATACATTTACATTGCAATTGAAAGACGTGACTCGCAATGCAACTTCTCTAAATCTGAATTGTTCCTGAAACACAGATTTTTAGTACTCAAATAAAAAATAACCTAGATAAGCTAGAAAAGCTAGAAAACAAACCTTCATTAATGGTTGCATGGAAAAGTAATAAATCAAATATTGATGAAAATAGATTGGCTCCAGACTTTATTTTCTCCATGAAAATGCATCTCAATTGGAAATTGCTTCAGGAAGCCCATGTAAGCGCTCTCTGAGCGTCTAGTTGTTTTTGCTTTAAAAACTGAATATATCCACATTAAAGTTTGGTTTAAATGTCTCTACTCCGATGAATGATTAACGGCCGAAACATCAACAAGTTGTTTCATCTACTTTTTTATCTTTTTAAAAATAAACTGTTTCTTTAGAAACACTGATGCAGCTCCCACTTTATCATGCCAGCTTCAATCTTATGAAGTGTCATTGGAGGAAATTATTTCAATCCGTCACGAGTCATATCTATTACTAAGTATGATCCCATATTTTATATGGTTTTATTCAAAATATAAGGAACCTACATGTAACTCAAAATGTTTCTAAATTTCAATCTGTGCATGTATGTACAAATTTGTAAAACACTCAATAAAATGTCATCATCTTCTGCAGTTGAGTTTTTGTTACAGATGAACTAGTGAATGACTTTTTAACACGGTCAAACTGTGTTCTGAAAAATATAGATAATGTCTTGACTGAGAATTTTGAAATTTTGCTTATTGCCTGTTCCTTCAAGATACTATAATTTTATTATGATCATTTTCTGAACAAGAACATTCATGACAAAAAAGTAAACACATAAAAAGATAAACATAAACATAAAAAGATAAACACATCAAAAGAGACCATCAAAAGGAAATAACACTCAATAACTACATTGTGGAGACAGTCTGACTGCAGGAAGGAGTTGAATTTTCTTGACTCACTTGTTGTCATGATTACAGGCTAGTTTAGTCACTATAGCCACCTCAAAAATTGTACATTTAAGAAAACAATGAAAATCAATTCCTTTATTGTGCCTACCACTTTGAAAAATATACTTTTGCTTAAAAAATACATGTGGGATATTGCAATTAAATTGCAATTATATTAGTTCAAACTTGTAGGTTTATTTATTGTGATGTACAGCCACAAGAATTTAATTTAGATATGGACTTTTGTTTTCATTAGAAGTAGAATACTCCTTATTTTTTGATTTAGATCATTGAATTAAAATGTGCCTAATATTACTGCACAAAATGACTTAGTATTAATTTTCATAAAAGCTATATACACAAAAATTACATACCAGCACTCTGTAACATTTTACATGGAGGGCAATTACAGTGTTCCACTTTGAATTCAAGATTTGCAAGACCACAATAACCATGATTCAAATTACCTGTAAAACTCGATTTTTCTTTGAAGCTACATCTTTTTCTTTGGAGACAAAATTCTTAAAGGAAAAAGGGTTAGAGTCTGACTCTCTATTAGCAGCTCCACCTACAAAAACAATAATTTTTTTAAATAAGACACACATTTATCAAGATTATTTGTAGCTGTTCTTTTTTAAGAGGCACTACCACTTTCTAACAAAGACATAATTTCTAATGAAATACAAATGCACTATTATGGTTACATGAAACAATCAATTTATCGAACCTAGAAAACAGATAAAAAGTTGATAAAAATTTTCTGTTGTTGACTAAAATAATAGAAAACTCTATATGCTCTTGCTTCAGATTCACAAATATAGATAAGATTAGACTTTGTAGTATAAGAGTTTGCTGTTTACATTGAGATTTGGCTGGATGTTTTGACTATCTCTTAAACCCTGGAGACTCTATGTGTCAAATGTGATTTACATTGTGATTTATAAAAAAAAGTAAAAAATGGGATGAGAATAGATTAAAGACAAAGGAATGCTGCAAAAAGTGAAAAATAAAAGAGAGAAAGAAAGGGAGGAAGGAAAAAAAGGACAGAAGGGAGGACAAAAAAAAAAAGAAAGAAGATATTAAGAAGCCAGGATGTGATAAAAAGAAAACATAGAAAGAAAGACTATGAAAAATCAAATAAATTTGAAAGAAAGCAATGAATCAAAGATATTATCTAAAGGGAATATTTAGCACTTCAGTGGCTTACTTCAGTAAGCAAGCACTTAAATCTCATCTTGGCATATGATTTGAACAATGTTCAACAATTTGTACAAGATCAAAGCACATTCAACCACCATAATAGCAATTCAACTTAGCAGGATCAAGATAAAATTCTCATTATTTGCACTTTTTCACACTGTACCATCCTAATGAGCAGACATTATATATTTTCTTCAAGTGGTTTATTGCAATCCACCAAAAAATTGACCTAATTATGACAACGCTTGTGGAGCAATAAACACAAATATTCCGAACTATCCTTATTTGTCTTTCACAGCACCTAAAAAGGAATACTTTATTGGTTTGTTATATTTTTATAATTGATTTTCTTTTTAGTTTGCTTATTAAATTTCCATGATACTATTCAGATTTTATTTTGAGGAACCCTCCTGGAACTTCGAGATCTATGTGACGTGCACGGCAGGCACTCCTTTTTTTACCGCATAGTTCAAAATGTATAAAAATGCATTATTATATTGTACTAGATTCAGAAAAAAAATATTGCCCTACAATCACACTGTACCCTGAAAATAAGACCATTTTATAAAATTATAACAATAACTAATTTTGAGCACTTTCTTTGAACTAAATATTTTAACACAAAAGGAATACATCAAGAACTTCTTTTATGAAAAACAATATAATGTTTTTAATTGTAGATCTGATGTTAATGTTTTTGTATAGTATTGTGGTGTTATAAGCTTTAATTCTTTGTGATAAACAGACACAGCAAGTAAGTAATTGAAGTGCATAAGATAACCGCATGAGGAATGTTTCAGTAGCCATCAACTCCACTGAGATAAATACAACGCTGTTACTCAAAAATTACAATAATAACATGTTTATCGCAAATGCATAAAACTTGGCATCTCCTTCTCTATAACATATTTTCTTTCTTAAGATCTGAACCAATCTAAAAGCAATTTTAAAGAAACAAAATCTTTCTCTGTTGTTATTTAAGTTCAACTTGTGAGTATTTTGAACTATGCATAAAAAGGCATTACAATGACAGTACAATACAGCCATAAATCTCAGATAAAAAGACAACAATATTGTACAAATTCATGTTAGTTGTGCTGATGACTTGTACATACATCTAATGTTTCTAAAGCACTATACAATAATATATATTTTGACTTCTGAGTTGTAATTACAAAAGTACAAAATATACATAATGTCAAACCATTTTGGGTTCAATGATTAGATTCAGAGAACGCGTAAATCCTCTTAAAATTTTTGCTTGATATTTTTGTGCATCAATATCCTGTCTGCCAATTCCATTGATCAAGAACAAGCATGATTCTCTCTTTGAGAACTGTGTCAATCCTACTCAAACAGCAGGTAGAAAAAAAAGCATCAATTTTAAGTGATGTGACTATCACAAATTCAAACAAGAAAAAGCCACTTCAAATCCCTGTTTGAAAAGAAATATAAATCCATATCTGTTATGGGAATTCTACATCTAAAAGACAAAAACCTTTTACTCAATGTATGATTTGAATCAGCCAAGTTGTTGTTAGATATCATAAAGGGTAAATTAAAAAAGCTATAATTGTATCAAAAACAATTTCTATAAAATTCACAACTTACTTAATATCAAATTTAACACCATGAACAAATTTCAATTTTTTATAAGAAAACAAGGAATTTGGAATTTTCTGAGTGTAGGAATATTTTAAAGGAAAACTACTCGAATGAATAATTGATAGTCTACAAATAAACCATGGTTCTTTAAAATACATATCTATCAAAAGGAAATGTTAAAAACACAATGCAAAACCTTTATAAAAACAATTTTTGTGAATGTAGTCAAATTTCAATGAGACAATATGCCTTTTGGAAAATCGTAAGTTTGTCATAAAGGCAAGATGTTAGTGCTAATGGTTGCATTCCAGTAACTGTGCTTCATTGTGGGCCTTAAGTATATGTATGTTCAGCTGATACACTCTTACTTGCTCTCTGTATTGCCATTGATGCTGACCCTTTAAGAGTATTAAACATATACATGCTTGAACTAAAAGACAATGTTCCAATGAAAAATCCAAATACTTGGACTATTGAGTCATCTTGGTGAAGATACAGATGTACTTCTGTCAACCGAGAAAATCCCGAGGTCATCCACTACAAATATGCACATATCCTATATTACCACAACCCAATATGGATGAGTTGGGATTATTCATACATCTCAAGATCATCTGTATGCAGACAAAATGTTGAATAAACTCATGAACACATGTCACTGCTTTTAAAGCAAGTAGCCAATTGGACAGCTTAAGATATTAGAAAAGCCCTCATTAGACACTTTTCCGTAAATATGAATTAAAATAGTGTTGATGATTCCTGCATCTTATCAGATAGGAAGAATTTTAGTGGTTCAGTGCATGTAGACAGAGGCAATGTGGCTGTCAAATTACAGTCAAAATGAATATGGAGTGAATATGTTTTAGCTCTGATAAACTGCGTAGGGTTTTAAAGTTAAAACCACAACAATGTTGAATTGCAAGGCTCATTACCACATAGTCTACTTGAAAGTAGGAAGTAATACGAATATCATTACCCTACTGGGAGATGTTTGGATTGTGCCGGCAACCATCTGTCACACCATTTTGACAGGTAGGACAAAATTATTGGTAAAAGCACCTCAATAGAAAAATAGACCAGGACATATTAAAATTGATGAGCTTTTATGAAAACAATACTCAAGTGAAAGACATGGCTAATTTGAATCTGAAATAAGTGTATATTAAACAAAACATGATCTTTTGATCTATTAGAAGGTAAGAAAAATGACCGAAAAAAATATTTTAAATTCATGAAGCTCTAAATACAGTATAAAAAATATTTGTAAAGTACTATGACAGGATATATGGTGGACTGGTTTGTATAATTTTGAGCATATATAACGGCAGTATTATTGGTTTCCAAAGGAAATGAAAATGATTTTTTTTTTCAAATATACACCCAATATCCTGTATTTCAAACTGAGGACAGATGTGACCTTGACATTATTAAATTTACCTCAAATGAAGTCCTGAAAATCCCAAGGAAAATATGAATGATAAAAATGAAAGAAAGAAATATTAAGAAAAAGAAAACAATTACTGAAATATAGAGATCTTGATACTTGTAAGAAAATAAATAAATAAAATAATTTGAATAAATGAATAAGTAAATAAAATAAATTTAAAAATTAAACTGGATGATGAATTAAAACAAACATTATCTGTACCTAGGTTTTGGTTGAGGGAGGAAAACCTAGTGTCTGAGCAAAGGAATGAACTACATGTAGTTTTAATGACATCTGATATTAATAATGGTAAACAAGGGCTCAAATTGAGATTACACGCAATTTGCCGCAATGCCATTTTATAACAACAAAGCATACACTTAATATTTATGTTTACTAAAGAAATAAAATGGCAACATTACTTGCATCTCTGTAAAGAAAACACAGAAATAGATTTTGAAGAATTTTCAGTTGGACATTAAAAAAGTGTGACAAAGCTACATTCATTCTTATGCGTTGTTCAAGACAATATTGTAATCACTAGTCATAAATTTGAAAAAGCGAAAGAAAATCGAAAGAAAATGAAAATGGAATGGAAATTAATGGAATGGAAAATGAGGATTCTTTTTAACAAATTTAAATTTAATTTTACACTGTAGAAAATGAATATTTCTTACTTTAAATTACAATTTTTTCTATATATCCAATGCAATCTCAATAGCTTTTCCGTGGATGACAATAATCGAGTCAAAATACTTCAAGTACCACGTAAAACATTAAATTGGCGGGTCCTCCTTCGTAAAACCGATATTTTACGAACGAAATGGTTCAATTTCAATCCAAAAAACCTAATACATCAGTCCATACTTTATAAATCTACTTCATAGTGGTATGTTTATAGTAGCCTATTTTAATTTGGGAAAAGTTGAATGTTTTTACGGTGGTAAAGCAGGTCATCGTGTGGTGGCAAATGAATACGTGCGGTTGTGACTTGTGAGGAAATTGCCTATATTATTGGAGCATGCTTTGATCGCAAGCCAAACAAAACTAACTGACCATTAATTATTAAGCACAAAGTAATAAAGGAAGAGGCGATAAAACAGGTGCATGGTGTAAAGATATGTATATGAAAGCATTTGTATTTACAACCCTCCTAGTAACATTAGCTTTGTAGATAAACATTTTTGATTTTGTCACATTAATTTACAAATTCAGCACACAACACGCAAGGGTTCCTGAATAAAGTTATTATGATAGTTACGATAACAATTGTTTCTCACCATTACTAGTTATATCATCAGAGGGGAACAATTCTTGACTAGTTTTTGAAGACTTCGACTCGAGATGTCGATCGTCCAAGTTGTTGACTTCAGGAAATGGAACTGCATCTTCATCAAAACTTTCTTTTTTCCTTGCCTTTGATACGATCTTGCTACGGCCCTTCTGCTTGTCTTTTTTGTCGATATTTGAAGGATAAGGTGGAGGGTCCACAGACTTTGCTTGAACAAACGTTTTGAAGGAAAACGGATTTGTTTCCTCTCCCGTGCCGTCCTCCATTTTGAATTTATGGTGATTACCACTGACTAAAGAATGTAGGCTCACATGCCGTGATCAAGTCGCATTTTTAGCCGCTTTTGGAAAGAAATAAACATTTTTTCTTGCTTCCCAAACAGTTATAACATTTATCATCCCGTAGCGCAAATCATATGGAATGATAATGTAAATCTAATGCTGTTATATGATAGGCTACAGCTGATAACAACTTTAAATAATAAATATTTTACCTAACACTGAAAGTCAGAAAAAATGTCGGGAAAAGAACGAATACTCGTTTTAATGCTTTTAGAATCCGTGTTCAAAGTTCACAAAATTAATGTAAGAAAAGCCTCCTGGACCAATATCAGCCTGCACAAAAATTGACAACGCAAAAACTCTAAAAAACGTAAGCGTAGCTGTGAAGAGAAGAATTAGATATGACTGATGGACTAGTTCCTTTTTTTTTTCTAATGGAAAATTCGACACCCACTTGTAAAGGATTAGAAAGTAATTATATTTGAAATTCTTGGATTAACATAAGCTGTTCTACTCTTCTAAAGAAGCCAGGATTGGAAAGATAACGTAATGTACAGTTGTTTTGTCTACTTTGTAACTGTACGTGCATTGTGAAGAAGCGCGCGGTTTTGCACTAATTCTACTTTAATTGTGGTTTACAATACAATCTTGGACAGTAATATTTTTGCTAATTTCGCCAAATTGGTTTAACTTGGCCATGAATATTTTAGATTTTGCTCTAAATCGAAAGTTAAACAGTTTATAGTTTGAAAAAGGCACCTTCATCGGAATCAAACGCAATAACCTCTCCCTCAGACCTCCTCTACCCACACCTTCCGTTTTGCAAACGGTATTGCGACGTCGGCTAATACTAGTAACTAAAATGATAACCCAAACATGGTAAATCAAGAGTTTATTGCTTTGATTTAAGAGTATGCCGTTATTAAAGAATGCAGTTCAATCAACCAGGGAAAGATGATAACAGACTACTTTGAAATAATGAAGGTGCTTTAGTGGACGAAAACGACAAAAAACTAGTTCATATTATTTGAGAAGTTCCGTCAAATGTTTGTCGACAACTGCCCACTGTGTCTTTCTTTCAAAAATTCATATTACAATGCGCATTACACATTCTCCTTTACTGTCGTACAGTTTGCATAGCTTCTCTGCTTATGACGTCACATTATATGAAAAATATATGTTTCTCGATACGAGCAAGTTAATCTTTTTTCTGAAATAAGTTTAGTTGCGGTTTTTTTACGAGCACTAAGAATCATCGGCGCCTTCAAGTAACGACTCTCTTCGAGCAAGATCCCAGAAATGTTCAACACCATATTTCTTTAGGTGTTCTCTGGCCATAATTTCTGTAGTGCATTGCTTGAATTTCCAGTCGCTGAAGTTTCGCTCTTTAGTTGTGCCCTGAAAAGTAGATAAAAACTACTAAAGACATTTCTATTCAATCATAATTTAGCTTGTCTTATAGTTATTTACATATTTTTTATTTTTAAAATATTTATTTTTCATGAGTTTTTTGCACTGTGTTTTATATTTATATAAAGGTCTCCCGCTCAAATTTTATATATTACATACATATTTTTATCTTTAATATTTATTTTTTCATGAGTTTTTGTACTGTGAGGCGATATAGAATTTTACTATATAACTCTATATAAATTGAATAAATTATTATTATTAATTATTATTAGATAAAGATGGTTTATGATGACGAACCATTATCATCATCATTAATACTATCATCATCATCATTATCACTGTTACACTGTTAAATTAAAATGAAGTTTGATTTAAAAACAAAAACAAAAGCTCGAAAGGGATGCCAGTTGGTCATAGATTTTTGAAGATAGCAAGCTCATAGAAGTTTTCGTGTGGTCCTTGGTCGGAGAAAAAGAGGAATTACATCGGCGATACACCTATTTCAAAAAAGGTTGTCGGATAAAATGGCGAATGTCAATATTGTCGAACGGCGATTGCACGACCGAAAGTAGCCATGGGTTTTAGTACTCGATGAGAAATAACAACTGATTTATACTGTAAGATGGTCTGTGGTAAACATTGGCTCCATTTAGTCTTCATTTCTATGTAAGGTAAATCCAGTAATTGAAAAATTGTTTGTTAAAACAGTATAACCATAGTCCCTTTCGGTCGTGCAATCTCCCTTCGACAATCGCCGTTCGCCGTTCTTCCCGGCAACGTTTTTTGAAATAAGTGTATATCCGATGAATATTTTCGCTGTTGCGTATCGCTGATTAGTCTCTTTATAATTTAACCTCAAACCACTAAAACATTAGAATACGACATAAAAATACAAGAAATGCTCCAGAACATATACGTATTGATGGTTTTCAACCATTTCCAGGAGAAAAAGTTGAACAAAAGATGTCCGCCATTGCTGGTGGACCTGACAAAAGAAAACCACCACYGTGACTGGTGGACCTTTTTGTTTTGCTCACTCTCATGGGAATGGTTGAAAACCATCAATGGTAATACTCTAAAACACACACACACACACCTCCCAAACAAGCACGCAAGTATTTGGTCTTCTTTCTTCTTCATCGTCAGCTGGTTTCTTGTTCTTTCCTTCAGTCCATTTAATGCGATGAAGCATGAGTTGTTTGTATTTCTTGATTGCCTTTGGTCCACCTTCAACGATTGCTAGATTTAACTCTTTGTAGATAACAACACAACCTGCGATAATTTGTAAGTAATTAGTTTGAGACCAGACACCTGGATGTAATCTTGGAGCACTGTACAACGAGTCAATACGAGTCAATACCGGTCAATACGGTCAACTCTCACTATATCGAGTGCCCGCATTAAAATAAAATATTTTGTGCATAGTGTCCGTAATATCGAGGTGTTCGCATGGCGAGAGTTGACTGCAAAGTTTCTGCGTTTTTTTTCTTTGTTCGACGGAATTTTAGGGTTTCGTTTCCAGTTTATAAATGATGTGGTTTGTTACATTGCTAGTTTCGTAATTCTTTGTGCTTCAACAAAGGATTTCTCATTAGTATCTATTGCTTGCTCCTCCAACATGGCCGCCGGTCTTTTGTCCTCTGAATCTAATGGGAATGACTAAAAAAGATCATTTTTCAGACGCCCATGACGTCCTATCTACACCAGTCTTACTATCAAACGCACCTGTTAAATAATACTGCTGTGCGTTGATATCCACTTTGTATTTTTTCTGGGGATCATGAAGGTCATCTATTCTAAATACAGCTACATGTACACCAAGGGATGTATCTTCTTTTATTTTCTTGATGTTTTTATCTCGGCGTGCCTCTGGTGTCAACTTACGGGCAGCATTTGCGGCTTCGTGAGCTCTATTTGTAGTTAAAATATATTATATGTATAGAAAGAAACAAATAGATAAAAAGAAGGGAAGCATGTTTTTATCTCGGCGTGCCTCTGGTGTCAGCTTACGGGCAGCATTTGCAGCTTCGTGAGCTCTACACGTAGTAAAAATATATGTATAGAAAGAAACAAATAGATAAAAGGAAGGGAAAAATAGAAGTAGAAAAAAGGAGAGAGGTAAAGAAGGAAAGATTTACGGAAAAAAGGAAGAAATAAAGGGGGATAACTTGAAAAGTAACGAATCAGAAAGTAAATTACTTCATTAAATAAAAAACAGCTCTAAAAAAGCAACAAACAAACAAAAAACAAAAACAAAACAAAAAAACAAAAAACAAAAACAAACAAACAAAAAAAAAACAAAAAAAAACAACAACAACAACAAAGAAAAAAGCCTAGCAAAACACGAATCTATCATGAAGTGATCCATGATAGACAAGTTATCATGTACAAACCAGCCATTCACTACATTCGTTTAAGCGCTATAGCACATCGAATTACATTCATTTCCTACAAGGCACATATAGCGCTCGCTTTCGCTTCTCAATTCAATAATTTGAATGGCCTGATAAGAAAACCTTTCCCTAAGATTTTGTATACATGTACACCACTGACAAAAGAGAATAAAATCAAATAATGCAGTTGAGCATGGAAACATGAACATGGAAGTGAAATTCGAAGCAGTAATGAAAGGATGAGGTAGAAATAAAGAGGAACATTTCAAAAAATAACTGTTTTCATACTTTTGCCGCTGTGCCATCTGAGCTCTCACATGAGCTTCAACTTTTGTAGGATCTTGTACAGCTTCAYTTCCAAGAACTCTCATCAAGTTTGATATCTTTACTGGAAGCAATAGGCATAAAGTGTAAGCTGTATTAACACATTACACGTTTGCTGAAGATTATTTTTTACATCAAATCCATCATTTCTTACCTTTTGGAGGCGGGGGAGGTTCCAAGCCCAATCTGATCTTTTCAGTTTTTTCTTTTTCAGCTTCCCTTCTACGCTGTGTTCTAATTTTCTTTCGTTCTTTTTTAGTCAGCATGATCGGGATTGTTGGAACTTCCTTCGGTTCCGCTAATGAGAGAAAGATGAGGACAAATGGAGAGGGGACAAGAATTGATACTGATTATAGTTGATAGTCCTTGAAATACAATGAGAATAGTGTGTTATGTGTATGGACTGACAAACGTGAAAAGGTCAGAAATAGGTTCATTGTATTACATAAGTCACTTTATTTAGAAAATACATCACATGAGCAATACTATCAATCTGAATGACTTGTTTTAAAGGATGCAAGTTATACTGGACTCTCTTTCCCTGCGAGTCTTAGAGCAAGTCGAAAGGAGTCCAGGACTGGACTAATGGATAGCAGGACATACCAACCAAAAGACGATTCATGGTGAACATATGAACATTACTCACCTGGAGGATGTTTCTGCACTGGGTGCTCCACCAATTGAGTAATTCCTTGAAGCTGCTGAGTGCTAATGTTTTCACCGTACTTTCCAGATTTCAATATGACCTGGTCCCACCATTCCATATCTGGTACCTGCCCTTCCTGGATGTCTTTAGTTGGTGCTATCAAGGCCAGTTTAGTAGCAGATGAAATGCCTGTTCTCTTGGCCACAGCTGCGATTTGCTTTTGGAGCTTCTCTAGTTGTGTCTAAGTGATAGAAGTGATGTTATTCTTACCCCTGTTTTACATCATAAAATCCATGATTTTAACTTAAAGCTGGTTTTAATCATTGACATTGAGAGCCAAAAGACTCGCAGCATGCTGATTAGACAGAAATCCTGGGTAAATGAGCCACCAACATGGCTGATGTTAAATTAACATTATCAACTATGAATACATATACATGAAGATTCATTTTTTTATGGTGGGAACTAGCGGTAAACTAGTGTGAGCTGCGTTGGTGTTTCTAAAGAAACAGTTGTGTAAAAAGATAAATTTAACACCATAAAAAAAGTATGTGAAATAACTTACTGACATTTCGGACATTAATCCTTCGTCGGAGTAAAGAGATGTCAAATGTCAAATACTTCCTGTACTATCTAGAAATGATTGAACAGACAATCCTCTAAAAGGCCTCTTTATTGTTGACATTACCTTTGCTCTTATTCTCTGTGCAATTTCTTGAAATTTGCCCTTTTCATGAAACTTAAATGTCCTCTTGTTTCTGGTAGCTGATGGAACACTGACAATAAAAGAAATAAAAGAGATACATCAAGATGCTGCTTACATGTCAAACTACCTGTTGAGTCAGGTAGACATAATGGAATTCCTTGCAAACAGCGTTTTTGTTACCTTTATGACTTAAACTCGGTTGGTAACAAATTTCATTACTTTATGTCATGCAATAACAACAAAATGGTTGTTCTAAGAAAAGCTTTCTTGGAAAGACTGTATAACCTAAAGTGTAATAACAATTTCAAACACTTCACAGTTTACCATTGTCTGTCAATGAAAGATGACTCTATTGAAAACATAACATCCAAGTGTTGTTTTAATGTTCCAAATCTGTACAATAATTTAGACAGCTAGTATATCCTTTTGTTAAAGTTAAACTTTATGTTCTAATGTACCATTATTTATGGAATAAAGAATTATTATTATGTTAAAAGGAGAGTTTAGGGCCATACACTATGGTGAAATTCAAGAATATTGACAAGCTTTCGCCAGACGCCGGCATCTTCAGGTCACGAATGTACAATATTACAGTGTATGGCCCTCAACTCTCCTTTTACCTCAGTATGCTACTGAAGGACTGAAGGACTTCCTAATTCTTAATTACGTATTATTATTATTACATGTCAAATGTATTGTATTGTGTAGCTTCCAGAGTTAAACAAGTAAATGGGAATAATTTATGGCAGAGAGAAAAACTGTAACTTAACAAGCATTAAGTGTACAATTAAGACGAAAGAAAGAAATAATTCAACTTACGCAACTCTGTGGTCAAAGTAGGTTGTCTCTGTGAGATCCTCTGACGGCTTTTCAACCTTGAACTGCTCTCTTTTCTTGGCACGAATATTAGCTTTAAGGGTTGGCATTCTGCTGCTTAACTGAACAGCTTTGCCTGACGAATCAACAGTCCGTCCTTTGTCATCAAGTATAAGTGGGCTTGGCTTTTCATCTTTGACTGACGTTAAGTTGATCATGCCAGACTTCACCAGAGATGCCCCGGCACTTGTAAGCTGGGCATTTCCAAACTAAAGTAACACGGGTAGGTAAAAGTTTAAAAAACCTATTAAAACTTCTGTTTCAGGCTTTTCCTGTTAAAAATGAATCATTTCAGATTTTTATGTGATTGACAAGAATCCATTTCATATCATAAGTAAACATTAGATTTTTAGATTAGATTCTTTAATTGTTATATCTTAATGGAAATTGGTGTAGTTATACCACACCAACAAGTATGATATGCATAACTTCATTAGTATAAGATTAGAAATAAAGGAAGTTATGGTGCTAGGAAGGAGGTTATTCCAGGAGAAAGAGCCTTGGAAATAAATTTGGGAAAATTAATTTCTGACCTTGCTGTGATTCCGAATTCATTGGTAAACACCCAAACTGAGCCCTGTCTCTATCTAAGGGTTAACTTACTAAGTTAGGTTTACTGGCAAGTTGTTCCTGTATCTTCTTCTGTAGCTCAGCAGCTCGTTTTGCTTTTTCAATGGCATCATACATCACTTGTTGTTGCTGTTCCATGCTTGGCATTGCAGGGTGCATTCCTGGTATTTGGGAAGACATAACTTGAGGAACACCTGATACTCCCATCCTGGCTTGACCCATAACCTGTGTGTCAGTAAATTATCATTGTAATTATGGGCAGAACAATATTATACAAGTATAGAGATCTGTTTCAGTTGTTGTTGTTTTTTTATACAAATGCAATATTTGGTCAAAATAATGTCAGAATCAAGGTATTAGAGATGTAGGGGGATAAATGAATGCATGAATGGATTGCCAAGGGGCAAACAAAGCGTGATCTACAAGAGTTTGTATGGCGGAAATTCGTGTTTCCATGTCTATCCCTGGATTTTTCAGTGGATATGGAAGTTTTTTACGCCGTTTTTACGGGATATTATTAGGAGGAAGTTGTACAATCTGGATACGTAAGTTTTAAACGGTTTTATTTGATGGTTTATTTGATGGTTTACTATTTAGAGTGGAATGACTATTACAGCTAAGAATACAAACCTGCAACTGCCTCTTTCGTTCCTCAATCTGTTTTTTCATATTTGCCACCATTTCCGATATTTGACTGCTATTCAAGTGCGCAGGACCTTCATCATGCTCAGGAATAGCCGGTGGGAGAGGGTCGTTGTCTTCCTTTAACGCATCAAATCTACTCTGTTTACGTTTGACATTTGAAGTAGTAGTCGTTGAGTTATCCTCGTTATCTTCGCCAAAAACATCTTCTAAAGTACGTTTTCTAGAGTTTGAACTTCTGTGCGAGCTCGAAGACCTTATATTCTTTATTTCTTCTACTTTGTCAAACAAATCTTCAACAAATTGGGGAGCAAGGTCGTCCAGGAACGTTTCTAGTTCTCTTACAGACGACTTTTTACCCAAGTTCATAGATACACAATCCAATGCTGCCTTCACAACTGACTTTTCATTGAAGCCCAAACGTTTCTTGACGCTGCTTTCAACCCAAGTTTTTAATTCATCAAGATCTCTCTTGTTTATGCTTGCCATAACGATAAATTTAAGTCAAAATCACAACAACATATGTTTACTGAAGTTCGTCCGCCATTTTGAAACGCATGGTAAACGTAGAAACGCGCATGACTTGAGAATTGCACCGCTGGCAGATATATCGCTGTATTCGAGCACAGGGAGCCCAAGCAATGACTTTGAACTTTTGAATTTTACTTTTAAAAATGGTCTACTTATATTTTATTTAGCATAACAATGCATCATGAGTGTGTTTAAAATTTTTTTATCTCCATGTATATCAGGAGCCCATTACTAATGGCTCCTGTATATATATATATATAAATATATAAAGAGAGGGAGGGAGGGAGGGAGGAAGAAAGAGAGAGAGAGAGAGAGAGTTGTGCATTTGTTGATACATTCGCGCCATTTGTTAAATTGCATTTGGGCTTCCTGTGCTTATGCCTATAGAAAAGAGCCTTCAGTCTATTATCAGCGGTATCTTTAATAAAAACAAAATGGTGGTCAATGTTTTGCTGACAAGAAGAATCCAAAAAGCTATTGTAGACGTTCAAGAAAGCGGTGAAACACCAAAAGAATTATCAGATAGGTTATCAGAATATTGTTCAAAGGATCTTGATGGAAATAAAGATAAGGAAGCAAGCATCGAGTTCTCCCTCGTACGTGAAGTTTGGCAACTTTTGAAGAAAAACTCTTTTCGATCAGGTATAAAAATTAGACTTTAAGTCTTAATATTCCCGAATATTAGAAGATCTTCTTCTTAGGTGAAGTATTTTTTATTTGCTGAATGACTGAATGTGCTGTTAATTATTCTTGTGACTACAATACGCAAAAAAAAAACAAACTAATTTACAGGCCTAAAGGAGGCAAATTCCACTTCCAATAGATGAGGTGACGGTTTCGGCCACCATTTTGTTCCGGTAGGCAAAGTGTCGSAAAATAACAAGGAATGACCGGGAAATCGATGTCAAATAATTCTCGCTGAATTCAAATTCAGAAAGAATTATCAATTGCAAACGTTAGATACCTCAAAAAGGAGTTAACGGGCAAATTTTGAAAGGCGTACTTGATCTAGAGAGCGAGTAAACTCATTTTTAGTTCTCCATACATTTCTTTGTAATTTCAATACATTTCGTTTTCATTTCCGGGGTCATCAGTGCGTGACGCGCGTGAAAAATACAAAGAAATGTATGGAGAACTAAAAATGAGTTTACTCGCTCTCTAGATCAAGTACGCCTTTCAAATTTTGCCAGTTAACTCCTTTTTGCAGTATCTAACGTTTGCAATTGATAATTCTTTCTGAATTTGAATTCAGCGAGAATTATTTGACATCGATTTCCCGGTCATTCCTTGTTATTTTGCGACACTTTGCCTACCGGAACAAAATGGTGGCCGAAACCGTCACCTCATCTATTCTTGGTGTGCAAACGCATGACTAGTAAAACCATGAGAAATTAAAAGAACAAAGCTATCACCATCATGTTGGATGAATGAATAAGAAAAACTAATGAGGAATGCTTTGTGATCTTCATCCAACATGGCAGTGACTTGCACGCCAAGAATAGACAAACTCAACCATGCACTTTGTCATTCAAAATCTGCAGTTAAAATAACTTTTGGCGCCTGAATTTAACCCTCCAATCAGAATAAATAACAATCATTTATCCTCGGGAAGCCTGGTGTGTTCTCCTGTCCTTTTGTTCGTTGCTCCCAGACAAAATACCCAGACAGACTGCATTCTTAGGAGTTAACTTCTTTTTGTGAGCAAGAGACAAGCGATTAGTCTACATGTATCCTGGGGCAGGTACCGTAGAGGCGGTGTTGCTTTAAGGGGCTTAGCCCTCCCAATATTTTGACCGACATTTTGAAAACATTCTCCAATTCATCTGTTGCTTCTCTAAAATTTTCCCATTCCTATTTAGCACCCCCCCCCAATAAAAATTATGCTCCGCAGTGGCAGTGGCTCTGGGTTCCCCCCTAATGGTTTCAAATAAGATGTATTTATCACAATGTACATGTCTGTTTTGCTCCTTTAAGGTCATTTAGTTAATAGATTATGATATGTTATTCAAATGATACTATTTCAGGTGAGGACAAGTTGATCTATTTACATGAACTACTAGAGGGTAGTGAAGTCTATGTTTCACCGCCAAAACCACCCGAGAGGGTAATAGAATGCATTTCTCACACCATATCTTATCAAAAACATGGGTATTTATGAAAATATTCCTAATCATTAGAATCCAGAGCTTGTGGCTCGTCTAAAGAAATTACAAGCACAGCAAGACAGATTAAAATATGATGCCATGGTTTCAAACTTAGGACCAAAGGTATGTTAGGATAGGGACCTGATCCTCAGACTTTTCACATTATCCAGATCTAAATATAACTTTTCTAAAGTTTATCTTTATCTTAAAAAAAATTAACCCTGAGTCACAAAAACAGCTTACCAGAGAAACATACCCTATCCTGGCCCTGGAAGCTGAAAAAATACTCTGCTGTACTGCATATAGGATATAGGAAAGTGACTTTTGGATTTTTTTTGGTTGGGTTTTAATTTACACCTTGTTTTTTTTAACAGTATGACGCAGCAAAAGAATTAGGAACAGAAGGTACAGCTTAGCTATAAATATTTTTATTGAAATCAATAAAAAATCCCTGCTCCCCCCTTTCTCCCATTTTCCTTCGTTCTCCCTTTTTCCCCATGAAATGATTTTAAAATGGAGAAATACTGAGCGGATGAAACTAACACTAAAGATCTTTCTCATGTAGTGAGAACTACGTCAAAGCAACTGTCATCAATATTCAACTTCCTTGTCAGTATTGCAGCAGCATTTGTCTTTGGGTTTATCGCTTCACAATATGCCTTCCCGAATCTTGGAATGGTAAATATAAACAGGATTTAACATTATCTTTTGTTCATTCATTAATTTTTTTTGTCCTTTTGGGATTCTTGTGCAAAGTCTTTGCATTCTCATTCCCAAATTAATCCTCTTCACACTCTATGGGAGCCTCTGTTTGGCTCATTCAAATTTCTCTTATGAAAATTGGAAATAAAATTGTTCAAGGCTTTCTCAAAACCTAAATGTGGGAATGAGTTGGAGTCTGGACAAGAGTATGATTTATCCAAACACTTAAACACAGGGATCCCAAATATATATATTTTTTCTGTATTTTCAGAGAGTCATCATTGGTATCATCATGGCCTGTGTTGTGGCAATAGCAGATATATACTTCATGGCAAGAACAGAGATTTAGTACCTACAGCATATTGTATGTTATAAGAATAAAAATGTAAATAAAATTATCAGACTTATAGCAGATTGCACTGTTAATATTCAATCAATAATAATTCATTCAACTAATTTAACAAACACACCAAGTAGCTGAGTAATGTGTTGCAATGCTTGCAAACCTCATGCCTGATATCAGTTGATTATAGTCAGATGTCATTTAATTTATCTGAAGACAAATCAGTGTATTTTTTTGTCAATTTTTATCAATTTMTTACTATTTATTTAGTTTATCTAAGTATGAATGTAAAGTAAATTTTGCATGGTTTTTAATGTTGTAGATAATCAGAAAGTTTCAAAGCAGCATGAAGGAAGGATAGTTTGATAGTCTGAGCTATAATGAGAATGAGTATTAATTAGGTAAGTTTAATAGTAATTATACATGAATTATAGCCATAGTTAGCTAACTGATGCAATAATGTAGGCATCTAGCCTCCTTTGCAGGCTGCTTTCTTAGGAAACAGATTTTTCTTCCTGATCTTTGGTCTACCTGTGTTGATGTATYCTTAACACAGGAATCCCACGGAATTGCCCCATGTGTAGAAGGCTAAGTATATATATAGTAGGTGAAGGATTTCATATGCAGTCAGAAATTGATTATGTAGATTCTGTTGTGAAATAAGATGAATTTTACATTGTGAAAAGTATGAGAAACTGAACTTGCAGGGTTCGAATCCCAGCGAGGTCGGAAATTAATTTTTCCGAATTCATTCCTAAGGGACTTCTCCCGGAATTGCCTCCTTCTAAGCACTATAACTTTCTTTCATTTCTATATCATGTTTATCCTAGTGCCATGCGGTCTTCATATTCATATCTTTACATTATTCTATTACCGCAACCTTAACATCTATTTCACCCCGACCTGCTCCCAGTCTGGCCTTGTAGCTCAGCTGGTAGAGCATCGGTGTACAAATCCGAAGGTCGTGGGTTCGAATCCCAGCGAGGTCGGAAATTAATTTTTCCGAATTCATTCCTAAGGGACTTCTCCCGGAATTGCCTCCTTCTAAGCACTATAACTTTCTTTCATTTCTATATCATGAACTTGCAGACGTTTCGTACAATAGTTATTCGTCGCTTCTCGACGCCACTCACACTAGTTTACCGCTAGTTCCTATCATATTAAATAAATCGTCCGTGTCTTACATGTCAATGACTGACATTGATGGTTTTATTGCCGGATTAATTGGTTGTCGTTAATTGTTTTCTTTTATCTCTTCCAAAGTTTGACGGAGAGTAAAATGAGAATTGTTTCAGGAAAAGTTTGTTCTTTAATTGTTTGTTTGTTTTTCAAACACCGAAAATTTTTTTTATTCATTTGTTTTGGATCATTCTAGACTGAAAAATCTTTTATCGATTTACTTTATCAAACTGAACTGAGCGTAAATGAAATTATCTTATTCCAATGTAAAAGGTAAATTTTGCGGCGACTTATTTATGGTGGYGATATATTTTATTACTTCCAGGAATGCTATTATGTACGCCATTCTTTTACTGAAGGCTTTATTTTAAACTTGACATATTTTTCTTAACACTTCCCTTTTTTTGTTTTTTGAGGCCAGTCTTACGAGTTTCTGAACGGGAAGTCTCGATTTGTTCCTTGGAAGCCAGTTTGATGTTACTCACCTTCCGAAAAGTTCCCGTTTGAAGTATATTGCAACTTATGAATTATGTATTTTATTTTAAAAATAAAATTTCTCCCTGGTAAAAAAAGAACAAAGTTTTGACATCTTTTATAAGAACCTCTTAGACATTGTCTTAGAAATGAACGTCTGCAAAATTTGCAAAAAGGAAAACAAAGTCACTTTGTTTTGAAAGTCTTTTTAAGTGAATATATTTACTTTGGAACTTAATTTCGATTACCAGACCACTTACATCATAACACAAGAATCCATCTTAAGTGGCCATTGGTGGGTTCAATTTGCATTGCAAAATAGTTAAGAATATCGGACCGTTTTCATACTCGAAAGCAAAACCGTTACACATTTTATTAGAACGTGAAGCTCAAGTATAAAAATAAAATGAAATAAATACTACTTAAAACTGTAGGCTCGGAAAAATATCAAAYACAAAAGWTTTTCCAATATTTCTGCTCTATGTATTAGTTGCGTGCTAGCAGCTGTAGTTTTGCAAAAAGAGATGGCGTGACGAACCATCACATTGTAGTGACAAGGCAAATGATTCCTTTGTGACGATATTTTTGGTTAGGAGTAAAACAGAATTGTCCAATAKATATCTAGCTTAGTTTTCTTCAACTKAAAATGTCTTCTGTGTTTCGAKARAGAGAGCATTTGCAGAAGAAAACGCTGTTTTTACACTCGATGTAATTCGACACCATTTTTGCTGATATTTTTATAGCACTCGGGCGGAAAYGATTCAATAATTCTTCAATAAAACGATTTAAAATAGCATGGCAAGTCTGTTTTTCCAGTGTCTTTTATTAGACCTATTTTCATGTAAATTCTGCATCTTAGTTATAATTTAATCGAAAAGAGTAAAAATCCTTCAGCCAGTCTGATCCATGTTACATGTAATCGGTCGGTTAGACGACAGTTCGTGGGTACCAATTGACCAAAAAAATCATCAATAACACCGCCTTCATACCTTTCCCAATTTGGACTGTGATATCAAATATTTGTAACCGTTAACAGGAATTCCGGATTATAGACAATCAACTARAGTTTTGGGGCAAAAAGAAATACTTGTYCTACTGTCCTCACGTTCTGCTTTTAAAATATTGATCATGCGCTTTRAAAAAGTTTTACAAGAGTCCTATAATTTGTTTGTTCTTTCTAAGTATTTACTCACTAATACTCCAGTAGAATTCATTAAGCTCTATTTATTGAAAAGGGACTTTGTCAACACGTGAATCGTAATGATCAGAATGGTTCCCTCTTCAATAAACTGTCAAAATTGTTTACATTTTAAGAGTAACAAGCGACTTGGCGGAACCGTTTAGAGTTGAATGTGTCATATTACTGTTAAATCTTTTATTCAAAAGAAAGCGAGGTAMCCTCGTTGTAGGTTTTGAAATTGGTAGCGAGTTTAWAWMGTGGGTTCTTTTCGGAACAAAGACTTCTCTATCGTGAAAATACCACGCTAACCGCACCTTGGAGGCATGAAATGTCACTCACCGATGACTGATAGCAACTACGTAACGATATTCGCTGTTCGCTTGGCATCAGGGCTCGGATTTCCATGCGTCACATATTCCTCCCAAATATTAAGCCGTTGGAGTCATTGTTAATTTGAGGCCCTAAACAACCAAGATCATCCTAAGATGACCTTCTAGACATTTCAATTCTTGTCGTCTAACAAAGCAACAGAGTCAAGGGGCTATAGTTACAAACTGTTTGCTGAATCTTTCAAGGGCTGTGGAGAGTATAGCTGTTGAGTGTTCGACAAGGATTTCAACCTCAAACCACCGCCACAAATGCTGGGATTTTTATACTTCTTCGACGTTTAATTCGTTAAACAGCGGTTAAAAATGGCATCATACGGTGTTAATAGTGTTTTATTGCTTGCTATCTTACCTGTGGCATTATTTATAACATCTATACGAACGGTTGATGGTCGMCAGATCATACCTATCACAATAGACGAAGGACGACCCAAAGACTATGCCGTTTACACGTTTGATTCATCCAGTGGTGACACTTTTAGTTTTTATAAACCAACAGAATCAAAGGCGGGAAGYTGGTTGAAAATCTCTGACAGCGGCTCTATAACTACTACAACAGARCTGCCTTATAATGTAGGCGAGAAAAATGTTTACGATATAACCGTGATACAGAAACCTAGCAAACAAACCGACGGAGGAAAAGCCCATACACTAAGACTAACCGTGCGAGATGTGAATAATTTTTCACCAAGTTTCGCACATCCCGTGTATTATGCGCATGTTGCCGAGGGATCTCCTACGGGAGTTATCGTCGATGGTTTAGAGAAGTGTTACGCCGAGGATCGTGACTCRCCACAAGCTGGAAGCGTTCAGAGTTATTCCATATCAAGCGGCAACGAAAAGGGTTACTTTGCAGCCAGTTTCAACGAGAAAGACGGCAGAAAATTTTTGGTGCTCAAAACTACAAGCACTGTTATCAAGCGTGACCCCAAAAACCCAGACATTGTACTAACAATAGAAGCAAAAGATGGCGGATCACCGCCACTCATTGGAACCACCAAAATCAGCATTCGTGTACGAGACAGCAATAACAACGCGCCTGTATTCCAGCCAACAACTTACTCTGCAAACATCGACGAAAACAAACCAGTGCTATCTAAAGTTTTRCGTGTGAGTGCAACAGATGCTGATGTCTCGACGAATGGTGCAATCTACTATTATATGAGCACACTCGATCCRTCATTCTCTGTGGACGCTATCACTGGGGACATCATRGTAGCAAGACCGCTTGACTACAGTGTGAAAAASGAMCACACATTGACAATTATGGCCATAGATCGTGGATTTCCGCGCAAAATTAGCGCAGCTGCGACTGTTAAAATAACAATAAATCGAGACCTTCCTGACTACCCACCAACAGACACTCCTAATCCTGGCCAGAACACAAAACCATACTTCTCACAACCCAAATACTCGTTCAGTATTGCAGAGGACTTTCCAACTAAGGGTGCCTTGTTGTTTATGAGAGCGTCMGATAACGATCCCGTCGGTCCGAATAAACGACTCACATATTCATTATCAGGTGGAGATGGTAAGTTTCGAATTGATCCTAATAGTGGACTGGTAACACTTGCCAGTCAAGTGGATTACAATACTGCACCTGCTGGTAAGGCTTATACCGTAACAATTACAGCCACGGATCAAGGTAACCCGGTCCAACAAACCACTACCAATCTCGTTATTGACATACAAGAAGTGAATAAGAATCGAAATTTTCCTATATTTGACGAACAACAAGTCGCAAAAACTATCGAYGAGAGTGCGCGCAAGGGYGATGCTGTGTACAAAGCTACSGCCAAAGACGCTGACAGCGGAGACGATGGAAAAGTTGTTTACTCCATCGAGGCTGGTTCGGGTCTTGGGTACTTTAAGATTGACCCAAACACAGGGTCCATCACAGTGGACGCRCCTCTTGACCGAGAGAAAGAATCGTACTACGATCTTGTTATCAGAGCGAGTGACAGTGCTACTTTTCCATTAGATACAAGAATGTTCCTAATGATTAATCTCAAAGATATCAACGATAATAACCCATACTTCACTCAACCAATGTACCTAGCAAAGGTTCCTGAGCAATCCGGCGATGATACCTTTGTGACTYTAGTGTCTGCCAAAGACCCAGACGAGGACCCAAAAATCTCATACTCTYTGGATACTTTTTCTCAACTCTTCGATATCGATTCTCAAACTGGCATCGTTAGAACCTCGCGTGCCCTCACGGGAAACTTGCTGAAGAAGAAATACGAACTTCTTGTCTCTGCGTCGAGTTCTGGAGCGAAAGCCGGCGGACAAATCAACATWACTATCACTAGTGAAGAGGACAAACCGCCCGTGTTTAAGAACTTGGAAGACAATTCCTACAAGGTAGCCGTTCCAGAAAATATGGGTCCTATACCTAACTTGAAGTGCATAGCTGCTGTGGATTCTAATGGTAAGCCAGTGTCGTACAGGATCTCGTCTGGAGCTGATAATATTTTTGGTCTTGATGAAAATTCAGGTAAGAGAAATAGTGCATGGTGATGGTGTTTGATGAGGAACAAATAAATACCTGGAAATGGTTTCAACATGATGCTGATCATGATGATGATGATGATGATGATGGCAAAATGTTGTGGTGACGATGATCGCCAATCTTTAATGATGATAATATTAATCTTAATCATTGTGGAGCATTATTATAAGTAATGATATAATGAACATAAATGATTATGCACATTTTTATAAGGGATTTAATGCAATTTCATTGCACGTACTTGAGCAACACACTGGAAAAAAATCGCGCGCTTTAAGGTTGTAAATTTGATGTATATATGATGCAAGTGTCCAAAATGATGTAAATGTGATGTAAATGATTTCCATCAAATTTCCATCATTTTGGACACTTACATCATATTTCCATCAAATTTACAACCTTTTAAAGTGAAAGATTTTTTCCAGTGACATTTTGCATTGAATGCAGTGAAATTCCAATAAAATCACTTTTCTGCGAGCTAATAAATTATGTTTGACTGTTTAAAGTCAGACAGCCATTTTCACTTCAAAACAACACACGTATCCACATGTCAAGGCTATGACGTCAGGGATAAATCCTATCTGTCGTGGAAAGATTTCCTATAAAGCTTTGAAGGGTTTTAGAAAAGTTCTTAGAATTCAAATTTTGGTGTAATAGAGACTGTATTTAATGCAGCATAATCTATCGTGTTTTTATATTTCGATTTTGTCACGAAATAATGATCCGGTGGAAACTTGTTCARTGAACCGTCAATAAACTCTCCTCCTTCCAATCTTTCTGATCAATTTAACGCACAAAATTCTCACTGTGTTTTAATACTTTGTTTAACTTTGTATGCCTGTTGCGTTATGTAGTAGGTTRCTCCGTTTTTGTTAGACACAAATTAAGCTTTCAGAAAATACAATAGCTCTGCGTGGTGTAAGTGAAAAAATAATCTGGAAAGACAAAACAAACGGCTTTTAATAACTCCACGCTGCATTCTATTGTTATAAAGACGTCTTGACGCAGTCATTGTTATGGGATCACTTAATGAAATTACTCAGCGAGCGGTTTGAGCTTTTAATATCGAAGTTCAAAAGAAAAGCATGCAAGGCGTTGTTCCTGTTAAAGTTCAACAATCCTTCGTTTTAAATAGGTTTTGTTTCTATATGTAGCTGAAAGGTCTAGTTATTTGGACRTATTCCTAGTAATAAGGTTGTAAAGGTTTGGCGTGACGCGGCAGACGTTTATTTCATGATTGGAATGCKATGTTAATCGAGCTTAATCAACTGACTGCCATTGATGCTGAAACACTTAAGCGCTTCTACTTATAAAGCTATTAATAAATCCAAACCAGGTTTCTCAAAGTTTGTTTGAATATAACTGGTTTTGTAACTGCCTTGAGAAATGCCACGATATAAAACTGCAAAGAAAGCTTGCTGTATTTTTATTCGRTGATACGGTCTACTTCCATTATGTATTTTACTTATCCAGTGGTATTCAGTCGATGGAGTGATCTTTATTTTAAGCTGGGTATAGGAATAAACATGTTATGGTCGTTCACATTTCTCTTTAAGGTTTCTTTGCGTTATGCATATTACAAGCCTAAAGAGATTTCACTGTTTCCTTGTGTGATTTACTTTCTCTTACTTAAAACAAGCAATATTTTCTATGTAAATGACCTTTGCTATTTCTTCCATTAAGCTTTGATTGCTAACCAAACATGAACGGTGATATTTCTTTATTTTGAGCAACCACAAGCAAACAAAAGAGACGTGCGCGAGTAACCAAGCGTTCCTTTTTCCTATACTCATTTGCAGCATTTGTCTCTTTACATCTTCACCACAAATTCTCCAAAATATATTGTACAATTGTGTGACTAGCGTATCTTTCGAATATAAAAGTTATAGTTCATTGCATCGTCGTAGAAAAGCACAAACATTTGCATATGAATGCCAAAAGTATGCTTCAAGGTTTTGATAAACTGCTCGGTATCATTTAATAGTCTTAATCGAAATTCACTTATCGGGAAACTTTTTCGTTGTGGAATTTCAAACTTTTAGCGTAACAAGCACTTAAGTTGAAAGACGAAGACCAGATTTTGTATTATTTTGTGGTTTTTGTAACAATTGAACTCGRTTTGTATTGAGGAGTCGTGGCTGAAGTACGAGGGGTTCAGAAAGGTCATAAATTGATGCTGTGGGCATAATTTGAGTAGAGACAGAATTAATTATAGTTTAGCGGATATTTGATTATTTTGTCAAAAGTAGACAATTTTTATCTTAGTAGACTCCTTCGCATCCGTTTATCTGTATCTTTCTCACCCAGGGATAGGTCAAACAACGCCAGGCTAGTTTAAGATAATTGTGGATAACAAAAAAGTCGTTTCTCTAGTTCTTATGATAAATTATATAGTCTGTTTGTTGAATAGTGATGCTTGATTGTGGCATTGAAAATATTACATTAAGTTCATAAAAGGGCTCGTTTTATTCAGCTTTAGAATTAGAATGAAATTACCATCGTAAAAATTAATAACATCACTATCATTTCGTCTTTGTCCACGATACAAAAGTGAAGTAAGAAATGACTGACTGACTGATTGGTTGACAGATTGATTGATTGACTTACAGTTGCATCGGGTGTTGATTGAATAATAAATAAATCTATCAATTTATTAAAAATGTATTAATATATTGATTGATTATTGATTGATTGATGATTGAATTACTTGAATTACTAATTGATTGATTGATTGACTGGCTGATTGGTTGGTTGGTTGGTTGGTTGGTTGATCGATCGATCGATCGATTGATTAATTGATTTACACGGACTGACTGATTGATTGATTGGTTGACTGATTGATTGATTAGTTGGTTGATTGATTAATTGATTGAATAATTGATTGATTAATTTATTGTTTGATTGATTGATCGACCCACCCCCTCACCATTCCAGGTCGATTATACTCAACCAAGGGATTCGATTACGAGGAAGTCGACCGATACAACCTGCGTATCGAGGCATCGACCGGCTCATCAAGCGATCAAGTGGCATCAGTTCCTGTAGCCATAACAGTCAAAGACTCGCCCGACCCCCCTAAGTTCTTGAAAAGCTCTTACGTTGTTTCAATCTCAGAAAACACTGGAGTTGGTACAACTATATCCGCTCGCCTAGTCATCGACGATCGCGATACTAGCACCGATCAGTTCGATTGCTCTCTTGAAAATGTCAATTCTCCAAAGGTTACTGAGTATTTTAGGGTTGTGCTGAGCGGTGGAGAGTGTAAATTGGTTATAAAGAAAAAGCTTGATTCATATGACGTTAAGGAGTTTAAGTTTGATGTTCAGGCCACTGATGAGAACTTCAGACACATGTACGCAAGGGCGAGTTTGGTTGTTAAAGTTGACGATGTCAACGACCATAAACCAGTATTCTCTAAGACATCGTACTGGGTGTCGATAGCAAGTGGATTTAAAACAGGAACCAAACTAGTCGAACTATCAGCCGTTGATAGAGATACAGGTACCAATGGGGAAGTGAGATATGATCTTGTACGTAGCCAGGATTCACAGAAGTAAGTGTGTCATACTAAATCAATTGGTTGATAGATTTTCTGATTGATGGATTTCTTGGTCTGTATTTGGTTTGTTGACTGGTTAGGTGCTTAATTGATTGGTTGGTTCATTGTTTGATTGGTTGGTTCATTGTTTGATTGGTTGGTTGTTCGATTGCTTGCTTGCTTTATTGACTTCATATTTTCTTGTTTGGTCGATTGGTCAGTTGGTTGGTCGGTCTATAGGTTGGCTGGTCGGTTGGTCGGTTGATTTGCTGGCTGGCCGGTTGATTGATTGCTTGAATTATTTATTTATTGATTTGTTCATTGGTCGGTAAGATGATTGATTGCTTAGTTGATTGGGTTGGTTGATTAATAGATTGATTGGTTAATTAATTGTTTGGTCGGTTGGTTGATTTGGTGACTGGCCGGTTGATTGATTGATTGATTTGGTTTATTGGTCGGTAAGTTGATTGATTGGTTGATTAATTGATTGATTGGCTGATTATATGGTTGGTTGGTTGGCTGGTTGGCTTGTTTGTCAATTGATTACTATAATTGATTGGATGGTTGTTTAATTGCTTACTTGGTTGATTAATTGATTGACTAGATGACTGTTTAATGATCGTGATAGTGATGCCAAATGATGAGAGTTTCAATCAATTTTTTCTATAGATTTAGAATTCTCAACAACGACCTGTTGAGTGCCGTGACACTGGCTCCCAATGTGCGCTATCAGGTTCAGGTCACTGCCTCTGATATTGGTAAGAATATTTCAATGCTTGAATTAATGCATAAGAATGATTTTGTTGAGCGTGGGAAATACTCGTTAGGATGCCAGAGAGTCTACCTGAATCGTCAAAAGACTCAAATGAATACAATACTCCTAAATTCTTATTATTCATTAATTCTTCCTTATTTTCAATTGATCGCTCCTTTTTTCCCTTTTTGCATTCATTCATMCAGTTTAATTTTCATTTTTTACATTCGTTTCTTTATTGTTATTGTCTTCTTTTTTTCCCCAATTTTCCCCATCCATCCTGTCCTTCCTGTTCGCAATTTTCATCCACTTAGTATTTGTCCATTTGGTTGTTTATTTGTCCACTTATTTCTTTATTTCTTTACTCCCAGCGTCTACTCCCCAATCTTCCAAGGTCACAGTGTATGTGTCAGTGTACGATCCGAGTGAATCTCCTGTGGTATTCGATAAGTCAAAATACACAAAAAGCCTAAGTGAAGAAGCTGCTAAGAATACCCCTGTATTCAAAGTCAGGGCCACAAAATCTGGTGTCACTACTGGCATCACCTATGAGTTAGTTGGTGGCCATAAAGACCTTGATGGAAAAACGCTGTTTAAGATCGATAGCAGTGGGCAAGTCCTTCTGGATTCAAAGCTTGATCGCGAGACCGCAAGCTCCCACACAATCTACATCCGGGCCACATATTTGGGAAAGCCCGTTGCTATGGCTACTGACGTTGAAGGGGTTATCACTGTCACTGATGTCAACGATAACAGTCCAGAGTTTACGTTTGAGGGAAGTTCCAAAATTATTACCGTAGATAATTATACGCCTCAGGACTCTTTGGTTATCAAGGTAAGTCTACAGGCCTTACTGGGCTTTCCTGGGCTTTCCTCGGCTTTCCCGGGCGTCCTGGGCTTTCCTGGGCTTTCCTGACTTCCATGGACTTTCCTGGGCTTCCGGGCTTCCTTTCCAATGTGAAAACGTATAAAGAGCTTCGTTTCCTTGATTTGTTTTCTTTTATAATAACAGGCCTTAGCATTTGACGCTGATGATGGTCCCAATGGCAAAGTAAGCTACAGTATTGCAGTCGGAGGAGGCAGTCCGCCATTCAAGATCGACTCAAATACAGGAGAGATCAAGGCTTCCAGAGAGATAGTGTAAGACGTCATTTTAAGTAGAGTAACTACAGTCAACTCTAATTATAGTAAACAACTCCTGACCTTAACTAAGTGTTCGTAATAGCGAGTGTCATCTTTAAAGAGAGTTACTTTCGTTAATTTATACGGATCTTATGTGACCGTAATAGCGAGTGCCCGCGGAAATGGGAGTTACTGATTTACTGTTCGTAATACTGTATCCAGGTTGTCCGTACTAATGGGATGTTCGAAATAACGGGATATAATAAGGGCATAGTTGACTATATCACATTAATATTTGTAACGATGTATGAGGAAAGTATATCACACACCATTTTAGCCTTATATAGCGTTTAACGTATTCTAGTTGAGTATAGATCAATCTCTGATTTTATCTCAGAAAAAAAAAATGATTTTCTCATGATAAAACAAGGCATCTAATGATTTATCTTTAATGATCTAATGATTTTCTGTTCACTAGTTTCTCGTCTGGAGCCAAATACGCAATCAAGATCAGATCGTCAGACGGCGGCTCACCTCAAAAATCCACCGACTTTACCCTTAACATCGAAGTCGTCAACACTCCAAGACCCCCTCGATTTAAGGACAATTCATATCAGTTTAGCGTCAATGAAATAACAGAGCCTGGAACCAAGGTGGGACCAGGTATACAAGCCGAATACAGCAAAGCAGGGACTTTCTTGAAGTACTCATTCGTCGAAGGCAACAAAGATAACACGTTTTGTATCGATGCTACTGGTCAGCTGTACCTAGCAAGACGTCTAGACCGCGAAAAGGTGTCTAGTTATCGACTGAAAGTCAGGGTTGAACTTGGGAAGAGCTCCGATGATACGATAGTGAATGTGAATGTCGATGACTTTAACGACGATCCGCCACATTTTGATAAAAGCGTTTATCAACTGAAAATAGAAGAGAACAAAAGTAAGTGGGAATGACGGAATATCTTTGCTACTGTTCGTTTTCTATTCTCATTCATTCGTTTTATTTTTTTATGTATCCATTCCATAGACCTTTTCTGAAATACAAAATAATTGTGGTCTACATTCAATACAAACAACGCCATATTTGGCAGCATGAACAAAAGATGTTTGTACCGAATCTAGGCCACAATGCAATGCAAAGTGGTATCTCAGAAAAGGTCTATGCGATTAAACATTTAACACTTATTTACTGGAACCGAGGGAAATAGTATGTTTTGTGGTCCCGAGACCGCAAAACATACTGTTTACCGAGGTTTCCAGTAAATAAGTGCTTTATTATCATATCAAGTGTCAAAGTGTTTTTATGAAAGATTTTGATAAAAGGACTGAAAAATGGCAATACAAATAGTGCTTATTCTTTTTCTTATCAAATAGCTATTAAACCAATCGGAAAAGATCTTGCAAGACCGTGAAGGGCTACCTTGCCTTTCTAAGCAAAACGTTTTATTATTTTGCCTTTGTAGAGTTCTTTCATCTCTTTCTGTTTTACACTATATTGTATTTTTTTCTTTTTTTTTCTTGCAGAAGGAACGTTGGTTCCTCCTGTAACTGCTGTCGACCACGACTCTGGTACCAATGGAGAGATCACGTACAGCATTCTTCAAAGCATCAGGACGCCAAGCAAGGGGTTTTTCAAGATAGACACAACGACTGGTCAGCTGTCTGTTGACACAGAGCTGGATCGTGAAAAAGCTGCCGAACACGTTCTGTTTATCCAGGCAAAAGATAAAGGCAACCCAAGCCTGACCTGTAAGTATTAGCACAAGATAGAGCTCTTTAAAGCGGCCACTCAAAATGGTCATGATATAAGAGAGACCTCCTTAAAGCGGGCACTCAAACTGTCATGATATAAAAATAGACCTCCTTAAAGCGGACGCAAACTGTTAATAATATAAGAATAGACCTCCTTAAAGCGGACGCAAACTGTTAATGATTTTTTCCAAATTGGGCTTTTGATGAAGGTTGGTTGAATAGAGGACGAATGGAGCACTTTTTATGGTGGTCGCCTATTAGAGGGTGACCGCTTAATAGAGGTTTCATTGTATTTAATTAAGTTTTGTGGGAAGCAATTTTAAATGGTGATGAATTTATCCATCTTCTGGTAGACAACTGGAATTATTAGAAGGTTGAAATGCTTGATAATGGCTATTGAGGCGTCTTTATTTATCCACCTTATCGTCTTTCAGCTATCGCACAAGTAAATATCGACGTCCAAGATGTCAACGATAACACGCCCAAGTTCGCAGCAGCCTCTTACCGTGCGAAAATTGCTCTGGATGCTGCTATCGACAGAAGTGTTATCCGCGTCCAGGCGTCCGACCTCGACAAGAAAGGAACCCCAAATGGTGACTTAGAGTTCACAATTCTGTCAGGAAACAACGGAGACGCCTTCAAAATCAACAACCAGGGCGTGATCTCCATCAAAAAACCCTTAACAACAGTTGCCGATGATAGGTTCACTCTTGATGTGCGTGCTAGCGACAAAGGTAACCCCCCCAGGAAAGCAGACATCACTGCTCAAATTAACGTGTATCTTCCTGACGGGCCGCCAAAGTTTGTTGTGTCACCCGTGACTGTTTACGTGACCGAAGGTGTCACGGCAGGGAACCGCGTGACAGGTGTGAAGGCTGCTACGTCGGAAGCTCTGACTTACTCGATTATATCTGGCAATGAAGACCTGATGTTTAAGATTAACCCATCGACAGGTAAATATCCCAGTCATGTACTTCTCCCGTCCGTGTATAGTCTCCTCGCAGCCGTGTTTAGTTCCGGTCACGCGTCACGCAACCTCTCCTTGCGTGACGCGTGACGGAAACTAAACACGGCTGCGAGGAGACTAGTCCGTGTTTTACGACTTCTTTTCCTTTTGTAAAAATTCTAACGTTGATTTTCCATGTTTGAACAGGTCAATTGGACGCCACTCGAACGTTAGACTACGAAGAGAAGCAGCGATACGAACTAGAAATCGAAGCTCGTGACACCCGTGACCGAAGCGCTGCTGTCAAGCTCATAATCAATGTCGTCAATGTCAACGACAACAAACCGACCTTTAGGGGTGAACAAGATGGAGTGGTCAACCGAAAAGCAATTGGTACGTGTCGACCTACTAACATAATCCCAGGTGAAATCGTCGCATCACTTGGGGTGACCGACAAGGACAAGGGAGATAATGTCACTTTTGAACTTGATGACCAAGGCAAAAAGTACTTTGAAGTCGACCCTAAAGGAAACTTGAGAGCCAAGCAACCGCTCACAGGAATTCCCTCGCCTTTTACGTTCAAGGTGAAGGCAAAAGACGATGGAAAGCCTCCACAAGAGAATGAAGTCGACTTAAGAATAGTGTTTGTGTACTACAGACCCGATCAAGATCCAGTACGGGTTGACGTGCGCGAAGACCGTCCCGTCGGAAGTGTCATCGCCCGTKTACCCCGCTACCTTCCCAACGGCACTATCGCGCTTCTTTACCCAGAGAAAGCCAACTTCAGTATCCAAAGCAATGGTGATGTCATTTTACTTTCTGGTCTTGATTATGAAACACAACGGTTTCATTCCATCACCGTGCGCGAAAAGCAACCTGGGACTGATTTGACCAATGACGTCGATGTTGAAATCACTGTGTTGGATGTGAACGATAACGCGCCTTATTTCACGCCCGCACCACGGTTTGCTCAAGTAAATACTAACTCACGCGCAGGCGCAAAGGTGTACCAGTTAAATGCGGAAGACGATGATGGAGGCTCCAGTGGACTTGTGGGATATCAGCTGGATAAACCGGAAACGAATGCTCGTCGTCGACGTCGCTCTCTCCCCCAGTCTCCTTTTACGATTAACCCTAATACTAAGCAACTCGAAGTTGCAGGACCTGTAGGTGATAAGAGGTATAAAATGCCTGTAGAAGCCTTTGATTATGGTATTCCTAGACTTAGAAGCTCTCCTATTGTTTTGAATCTCGATGCGTCTAAAGCAGGGCAGGTTTCGCCGAGATTCTCGCAAGTGAGCTACAGTTTTAAGGTCCGTGAGGATGCGCCATACTTAACCGTCATTGGTACAGTCAAAGCTCGTAGTATTTCTGGAGCAAGACTCGAGTACACAATCGTCGAAGGAAATGTAGGAGACAAGTTCAAAGCCTTGGAGAACGGCAACATCGTACTGAACTCTTTACTTGATTTTGAACGTGATCAATCGGTCTATAAGATTAAGGTCAGAGCCACTGAGCAGATCCCCGATGGATTGTTCTCCGTGGTCGATGTCCGTATCGACGTCATCGATGCAAATGATCACGTACCGTATTTCTCGCAGATGTTGTACTCGGTCCAGATTCCTGAAAACACGGGCTCAGGAAAGATTATTCACAATGCTAGAGCCTATGATTGCGACTGCACTCCTAACTGCCTCTGCCCATCGGGTAAGCTTAGGTACTCGTTGTTCCCTAACAAAGAGGAAGGAGGCAATTTTGCCATCGATTCCAACAGTGGTCAAGTCTCTGTGGACAAAGTGTTAGACTACGAGGTTAAAAAGTGGCATTTGATTAAGATTATTGCTTCTGATAGTGGCAAAAAGGTTTACAGGGGGATCTGTTATCTTAATGTTACCCTTACGAATATCAATGACAACAGTCCCGCGTTTTCGCAAGGGTCGTACAATTTTCATATCGCCGAGAAGGCTAGTGTTGGTGTACCTTTAGCTGTTGTCAGAGCCAACGATCCTGATGGTGACGTAGCCACATACAAGGGTGGAAATCAGCAGTTCAAAGTGGAATCCAATACTGGTGTTATAAGCTTGAAATCTTCGTTACCAAGTTCGAAAACACAGTACACTTTTCAGGTAAAACTTCATGGATTATCGCTCGTTCAGTCATTTTTTCATTCATTCCCATTCCCATTACCTCATTCACTCCTTAATCTTGTAGTTTGCCCATCCATTCTATACTTCATCCATTCACCCACCTACCCATTTCTGTTTTTACGTCCTTTACTTAACCATCCTCTTTAGTCCATTCATTCAATCCCACATACATTTATTCACACTTTTCAGTGAAAAGTGGAACGTTTATCCATTTCATCTGCCCAATAAGTAAACCATTAGTAGTAACGCTGCATAACTCTATTGGCTCACAGGTGGGAGCAGAAGACCCTGGTGGCAAGAATAACTTCGTCTCAGTCAGAATAGACATCGACGACGCCAACGACAATCGACCGATTTTCAAAGACTGCAAAACAAAGTCTGTCAACATCGAGGAAAATCTTCCAAAGGGTCACCGACTCACCAAAATCGAAGCCACTGATAAAGACCGAGGAAAGAATGGACGCATTACGTACACCATCATGGACGCAAAGTCCCAGAGCTTGTTTCAAATCGATTCAAACACGGGGGAGATTCGTACGTTGGCCAGCCTTGACAGGGAAAACAAAGAAATCGTGTCGGGTCCTCTCTTCGTGATCATCAAGGCAGAGGATGGGACGATAAATCAACGGCCGTCTGAAAGACTTTTGGACTACTGTTTTCTAATGGTAAACGTTCTTGATGTGAATGATAATAGACCTTACTTTGCAGAGGTGAAGTACTATGGAAGTGTGATCAATACTGCGAAAAATGGAACAGCAGTTATGACGGTTCAAGCAACGGATAATGATATAGGTATTTAATGAATTGTTGGTGTTGACTGATAACGATAGAGTGATCGCGCTTAAACCGTGTAACTGTACAAACTAAATAGTGCTATTTATTTGTGTTTAGTAAATCGTGCATGCGGTACGCAAATTAAATTGAATTGATACAAATGAAGCATTCAATACCGTCTTGCTTCAGGTCCACTTTTAGTACAAATTAGTATACTACTTAATGTTTGCACAATTTTAAGTTTAAGTGCGATCACCCTATGTCTCCCTTTCAACTGAAATTTCCTAATCTCATGGATTCATCCACTTTTTTCATCCATGTTTTATAGGTCCTAACGCCGAAGTCAAATATTCTCTTCTAAAAGACGAAGGAGGCCTGTTTAGAATTGACCCCAACACAGGCGTAGTGTCGACAAACGCTGACTTAACGAAGTACACCAAGAAGACATTCAACCTCAAAGTGGCGGCGCGTGATAAACAACCTCGAGCAGGCGAACAGCCCGGCCAAAACAAGCTCTACTCCACAGACATTGAGATCTYCGTTTCCAGTCGCGCGCCACCGAAGTTCACGCAGTCCACATACCAGGGACAGGTTTACGAAAACGTAGACATAGGAACCGTTATTACAACTGTCAAGGCAACTCCTTCAACACCCGGCAGCCAGATTCTATACCAGGCCGTGAACACCAATCCTCTCGCGAATGAGCTTTTTAGAGTTGACCCAAACTCTGGGGTCATCTCGACTGGAGCCGAGGGTATCGACTATGAGACCATCACCAACCCAAAGAAAGAATACGAGATCCATGTGATTGCGAAGGAAACTGGTGCCGATGCACTCTACTCGACTTGCAAAGTCATCATTAAAGTATTAGACAGAAATGACTTTACTCCTAAATTTAAAATGGGAGTAAAGACCGCTAACGCGCGTGTCCTAGAAAATAAAAACCCCGGCGAGACTGTTATTGAGATGGTCGCGTACGACAAGGATACAGGAACAGGGAAAGACATCACGTATTCTTTAAAGGACCCCAACAATCCGAACTTTGCCATCAACTCAAAGACAGGGTTGATAACGACCAAGACGAAGTTAGACAGAGAGGTAACTCCAGGTTATGTTGTTACGGTGATTGCAACAGACGGTGGCGGAAATGCGCAGCCTGCTTCGGTGGATATCATCGTTGTGGATCAAAACGACCAACCACCGGTTTTCAAGCCCAAGGTGTATCAGGGTAGCGTCGCAGAGGATGCTAAAATAGGGACGTCTATTTTAAGTGTATATGCTACCGATAAAGATATTGGTGATAATGCTGCTATCAGGTATGACGTCATGCTGATTCACCATGACCTTGACCTTCCTTATTACGCTTTTATTATCCACCTTTCCCGCGTCGGATCTCAAGATGACGGATGTCTTCTATGAAATTCTTTAGAACGAAGTTTCTTAGAGTGAACGCATTTAGTCCTTGAAATTGTACTAAATAAAAAAAGCACAAATTTGTACTAAACCCGCAACTGCAAGGCATCATCCTTTGAATCATCATTGCTCTCTTTGAACAGTTTTGACTAAATTGCGCAAAATAGTGCAAAGAGTGAAATCAAAGTTTTTGGAGGAATTATTTCCCTTCATTAGTATGGTGAAATTTCGTGGCGGAATTGCGTTCACTCTATCTCTGCCGGTATGTTTTACAAACGAGCGTACATTTCGATTAAATGTAACTTGATTTATATAACATTGTACTTACTAACGATGACAATGATTTTTAATATAGTAAATATTTTGTAATGAAATGTGTTTTTTAATTAGTAACTGTTGTTGTTTTGTATTCTAGTTTTGATACCGTTAATTGGTTCTAACTTTTCTCCTTCATCTTGCAGGTATTTTATTTCCAAAGGAGATCCCACCGGACGGTTCGATGTCAGGACAGAAGGAGGAGGCAAAGAAGGAGTTGTATTCGTAAACGGGAAACTTGATTACGAGGCCGTGAAGTCATACCCTAATATTGAAATAACTGCAACTGATGGCAAGTATAGCGATACAGCGACGGTCTCCATTACGGTAAGATGATTATCAGTCGATAGACCTCTGAAGCTTTTACGTCATGTACCGTATACGCAATGCATTGTAGGATAGTTTGGGACAGAACATGGTGTTATTTCTTTGTCTTCTTTAGAAACTGATCCCACAATGCATTGCAAATGAAGTAGTGACGTAAAAGGTTCAGAGGGCAATTACTACTTAAGTAAGTTCGTTACTAGAACCAGTCCTCTCTCACTCAACAGATAACCGACGTCAACGACATCGGCCCAGTTTTCATCCAACCAATGTACACCGCAGTACTGTCTGAGAATACTAAGCCTGACGTAGCGGTGACTACCGTGAAGGCGACCGATGTGGACGGACCATTGCCTTTAAAGTATAGCCTCGATGATAACGGAAAAGGGTATTTCGTTATTGACTCAAATGGAGCCATAAAAACTGGTACAACACCGCTAGATCGCGAAGAATCCCCAGTGAAAGCGTTTGGTGTCATCGCTAGTGATGGTGTTCATAGCACCAAGGCAGAAGTCTTGGTGAATTTGACTGATGTCAACGATAATGCGCCAAGGTACGTGTTGTCTGTGTCAATCAGTGGAATTGTCTTGTAGAAGGGGTTGATGTTATTAGTTTTTTGCTATTGCTAGATAACTAGCAGTAATACTAGTGAGAGCGATGACGGTGCTTTGAGTGAAGCTGTTGAGATATATCGCAATGTCGGATCTAGGGGAGGGGGTCATTGGGTGCTCGGGTCCACCCCTAGTCGACCCCCAACATACACACATCGGCCGGTGCTTCCAGTACCGGATCCAGGGTTTATTGATATATATGACGCCATCTCTTAATTGTGGATCTTAATCTTGGATCGGCACATACACCGTGAAAAATCCTTACTGATGTTTCGTGGGATGAGATTTAGTATGGGCCAAAGTCCGGCATTAGTGTAAGGGAGAGGTCAGCTTTTGTTGTTTGGTATGGACTATGCTTCAGATTGACGCATAACATGCGCAGTGACGCTAAGATATACCACATTGTCCACAGCACCGCCAAGTCACTAACGTAACACACATGTCTTGTATAACATGATTCGCTGCATGCTATATTAACTTGTTGAAAACTTTAATTTTCTTGTTTAATGTTGAGTTTAATCCATTTAAAACTAACTTCCAGGTTTCCCTCTTCTCCGTACATTGGCTACGTGAAAGAAAACAAACCCGCAGGCACAAGCGTGATGTACGTACAAGCCGTAGACGACGACGATCCGTTCGCGGGCGATAACGCAAAGGTTACCTACTCATTAACCGACTCCGCTGGCGGGAAGTTTAAAATCAACCCTGACACAGGAAAAATCACAACGCTTGCCACGTTTGACAGAGAAACGCCACCTGACCGCTTTAAAGTCAAAGTTAAAGCAACAGATGGCGGAAATCCTAAGCTTTCGGGTACCGTCGACGCAACTATCATCGTAACAGACGAGAATGACTTCGCACCTGAGTTTACCGAGGAGACTTATAAGGGTACTGTATCAGAGCGTGCACCACCCGGATTCAGAGTAACAGCAGTGAGCGCGACCGATAAGGACACTGGACCAAATGCTGAGTTCGAGTTTGTGGTCATCGATGGGAATTACCCGCACGCATTTTATGTTGACCCGTACAACGGCTCAGTTCTCGTGTCTGGAGAACTAGACTACGAGACTAAAAAAAATTATAGACTCACTGTAGAAGTGTACGATCGCGGCAATCCTCCTAAAAAGGGCAAAAAACTTGCTTATGTTGAGATTGAAGTCCTTGACGCTAACGACAATGCGCCGATTTTTGTGCCTAAGAAATATGATAAAACAATCCCAGAGACAAACGATGTTGGAAAGGAAATCCTCAAAGTAACCGCAATCGATAAAGACAGTGGAACAAATGGGAATATTACATTTTCAATAACTGGAGGAAACATTGATGACATATTTGAGATCAAGTCTGACCCTAAAAACCGAAGCATAGGTATCATAACGAACCGCCTGCCGGTCGACCGCGAGGCGATTCCGGTTCATAAACTTGAAGTAACTGCCAAAGATCCTGGTGGTTTGACAGGAACCGGAGACGTAACGCTAACAGTTAGTGACGTTAACGATAACGCGCCATGGTTTGTACCACCTGTGTTTATTTCGCGGATACGGGAAAACACAAACAATCGTCAGTTCGTTACAAAACTCAGCGCTATTGATCCCGATGAATACGTCGATGGTCGGACGATTACGTTCACACTTGTGAACGGAACGCAAGGAGATAACTTTAGAATCGATACGAGTACGTACACTAACGACAGCGTGGACGTTTACGCTTACGGAAGCTTTAACCGTGAGGCGAATCCCGTCTGGAAGATTGGTGTATTGGCAACGGAAAACCTACCGCCGAAGCTGACCAACTTTACGTACATTTACGTCGATGTGTTAGACGAGAATGACAACAGCCCATCGGATGGATCAATGCGGATCATCGTTAATGCTTACAATGGAAAATTCAAGGGAGGAATCATTGGGAAGCCTTATTACAAGGACGACGATCATGAAGGCGACACGAATACCTACACACTCGACTCGCAGAGCCCCGGGAACTACTTTAAATTAAACAGTAATACCGGGGATATTACGGCACCGGAGAATATACCCCTAGGACGCTATAAACTCATAACTACCATCAAACAGGGGGGTTCAACTGTCAAATCAAACGTCCAAGTCCTGGTTAGGCGCATCGACCCCGAAGCGGTTAAACACGCCGTTGCTATGCAGTTCATGGATATGAGAAAGCCAGGGTACTTTGTTGGTGATTACTATGACAAGTTTGTAGAAGTGATGTCTGGTATACTAGGCGTTTCTAGTGATGCTGTCCAGGTATTCAGTGTTCAAAAGGCCAAGGATAACTTGATATCTGTCGATGTGTTCTTTGCGGTCAGTGATGGCGATAATAAGTACAAAAAGCCCCTGGAGATCATCAACGACGTGGTGGATAAGCAAGATAGGGTCAAAAATCTTGGTATGTGTTCATCAGTTTGGCTTTGCGCCGTCCTGTAGTTATAACGTAAAATCTAATGCGGGAGGGCTTCAAACCGTCGATACAACGTAAATGAACACAAACCGTCGATACAACGTAAATGAACAATCTACTTACGTTTTTTCGTTATTTGTTCATTGGTATCTTACTAAGGTACCTTTTCTATTATTGTCGTTTTTCTCATTCTCATTCCATATTTTTCCACTACTTAAAATTATTTTTGCAGTCTTATAAAGAAACCTCATTAATTGTTTTTATACATTCGAACTGCTTTCCTTATAATCAAGATTCAATTAAACTTAATTCATAATTAAAATTATCACACAGGACTAAAGTTATCCGCTATTGGAATCGACGAGTGCGCCAAAGAAAAGCGCAAGATTGGTAAATGTGAAAACATAGTGTTCGCCTCGCCAGACTACAGCGTTGCCAGTGGAGACTACGGGAAAGTCCCAGCACCAGACGCCTCTCTTACAGTCGTATCTATGGACGTTCACCTCAAGGCAAACTACTCCCCAATTTTCCCCAAAGTCAAAACATGTAACCCCGAAAACCCGTGCCTTAATGGCGGAACGTGTCATCCGACAGTCCCCGAGTGCCCGGGATATGTTTGTAAATGTCCTCCGGGATACCACGGCCCGCTTTGTGAACTAACCACCAGGACCTTCTACGGGAACTCTTATATATGGGTGCCCAAGCTTACGGCGTATGAGATGAGCGATATCGAGTTTGAGTTTACAACACAGACTGCAGATGGTTTGTTGCTTTACCAGGGGCCGTTGAAAGAAGGGTCGAATAATGGTGCAAAGGACTTTATTGCCGTTGCGTTAGTCGGGGGTCGTATTCAGACTCATATCTCGCTGGGACATGAACCTGTAGTTATCAATATGGACAAGGGACCTCGACTTGATGACGGTGAATGGCACATTGTCCAAGTGTCACGTAATCACAAGGTATAGGAAGTGTCGTCATTGTGACTATGATGATGTTTTTCTTTTTGCTGTTTTTCTTTGCGTCTTATTTTTTACCTTTCTAACACTTAAAGGGAGAGTATGTTACTGAAATTGTCGACCAACCAATCAACCAGCAAACCAATCAATCAATCAATCAATCAACCAACCAATCAACTAGTCAATCAGAAAACCGACCAATCAGTCAATCAATCAATCAATCAATCAACCAACCAATCAACCAGCAAACCAACCACCCAATCTTTCAGTCACTCAGAAAATCAAACTAACTTATTGACAAACCAGCGAACCAACTAGCTGATCAATCAGCTAACTAATTAATCTACCAATTTACCAACCAAACATCCAACCATTCCAAAAGCAAACTACAAGCAGCCAATGAACTGCAGGCAACCAATGGAAACTAATTTTCGCTTGTTTTCACTTTATGCACTCAGGTTGTGGAGGTTATTATTGATCAGTGCTCTAATGCTGTTATCGTTCGTAAAGTGGACGGCACAATAGATGAAGATCGTCGATCATGTCACGTCTATGGAAAAGTTCTTGGACGCTCTGTGTAAGTTATCGTCAATATCATTTTCATAATCAATAAAAAACTGATGGGGAGGGAGTAGGGAATTTTTTATCATAAGTAGATAACTGATAGGGGAGGGTAGGCGGAATTCATCATTATCATTGGAAAACTGATAGGAGCAGTAGTGGGGAATTTCATCATTATTAATAGAAAAACTGATAGTGGAGGGGTAAGGAATTTCTTCATCATCGGTAGGAAATTGCAGTTTTCATAAATGTTGTGTGAAAAAAAACCAAGTCATTTTAATCTTCAAAGTCAATTTTTTGTTTGAGCTATACTTAGACGACATTTTGTGAAAGTTACTAGCATTGATACCAAAAAGATCCACCATGAATTCTTCCTGGTCAATTTAGGTATTTGGATGGCTTCGGACCATTACAGATTGGAGGCGTTAGATACCCAAACCTCAAATATCCCAAGATTCCTTACAAAGGATTTCGAGGATGTATCAGGAATATCAAGGACAATGGTCGAATGTACGACCTCGAGAACCCGCTGTACGTTAACAACGCACCCAAAGGCTGTGCTCTTGCTAAACCGTGCCCCAACTGCAACGGTAAAGGCTACTGTGAGCCTAATATTGCAAGGGATAGTATCTGTGTTTGCAATCTTGGTCACAGCGGCAAGAACTGTGGCGGACGTAAGTCAAACTTCATGATTTTTTACGTAAAGTGCATGCATATTAGGGATTCTGTTGCGTCGTGTAAACCTCACATTATATGACTTCATTGTATATATATGTTTTGGAGGATCTACGAAAAATCGTAGATGAAGGCAAAAAGTGTCAGTTGTGCACGTGACATAACGCTTATTTTTTTCTTTCTTGCGTTTCCTTGCTGTATCTTGCGTTGCTGAGCTCCACAACATCAAAATATGTCCCCGTTGCATAATTTACGTAGTCTTTACACCATCCTCTCACTTTCCGCAATATCAATACTTACGGATGTCTACGTAACTCTTTCAGGAGGTAAAGCGAGCTTTTACCAAGCCAACAGCTATACTCAGTACCTCGTCAGGACGTCAAGACGTAAACGGCGCGAATTGTTACCTCCACCCAAAGCTTTATTGAATAAATACTACACCAACATCGCTCTGCAAGTTAAGATTGAACCCGATGCTTCTGACGTCGTAGTATTCTTGTCATCTAATCGTATGGGAACTGAATTTCAACGAGTCGACGTAAGTAACCTTACGTTACATTTTTTCCATTACGTAGAGCATCTACGTTTTCTATATTATATTATCTACTTACGTTTACGTTGCTTTACGTGAAAGAACTTCGCTTACGTTTATGTGTTGATACTTTAGCCATGTAGAAATGTCTCATGACTATTACGTACGCATTGCAACAGTTTTACGAAAGGAGTTACATCCTCAATTGACTAACGTATTCAATCGCCCGCAGGTCAAAGACCACAAGATTCGTTACATCCTGCGTCTCGGTAAGCGCGTCCTCATTCTGAGTTTTCCGCAGCTTAACGTAACCGACAACGTTTACCATACCGTTATCATTAAACGCGAGGGCAATCGTGCTTCGTTCCAACTTGACTACAACGGTTACGAACTTGGCAGCACGCGTGGTGAACGTACTCTGCTTGACATGGGCGGCGGGACGTTATTTGCGGGCGGTCTCCCCAACGTAACTATCGTACGTATCGTGGAGGCAACTCTATCAGATCCTAATAACTTGGTGATATCCATTGGCGAGGATTCTGTTAATCGTGTTGCGAGAAGCGTTCGAAGTCTAGCGTCCTACATGAAGTTGGCGTCGGATTCAACTGGATTGACTGCTGTAGTTGATCAGGCTAAAGGTGTTTCTTTGGAGAATTTACATGTTTTTAGTAGCAATGAAAAACCTAAACGACGATCCAAGAGAGATGCTCCAATCTCTGTGCTGGGAGACTTTGGTGGTAAGTAGAGTAGTGTGTATGTTCCAGGCAGTCAACAAAAATRCAAAACAARACAGAGCAGAGMAAARAAAARAARARWARAAAAARAARARAAARARAARARAARARAARARAARARARARAAAAWAARMAAMACAAAGCAAARMAARSSAAAAAAAGCAAACGAAAACAATGTATCCTTATTTAACGTTTGTAAATATTTTGAATAGGTTGTATTTCTGGTGCCAGTGTCAATGGTGCCGACCTTGAAAGTGATCCATCGATCGTTGTCAAAAGACAGAATGTTGTGGATGGCTGTCCTTGTGTTAACAATCACTGTCTTAACGGAGGGACATGTGTGAATGCCATGCCACCGTACTGCATTTGCCCTCCATACTGGACAGGACCGCGTTGTGGGGTCATCATCACCAAACCTAATCCTGGTACGTTGCTAGTCTATAACATTGGCTGTAATTTAKCTAGTGTGATCTGCGTCAAATTTTCTTATGACATTTTTGATGAATTATATATTGTACAAAGATAGCAAACTTACTCTAGGGAAAAACGATTTAACAATCCCACAGTGAGACCTTTACTCGTTAGTCCATGTGGGATAGGTGCACAATACATATACAGAGCATGCGCAATAGGTAGATTACAAATTAACCGAAGAAAACTGTGTCATATCAATGCAAATGGCGCTCTGCCTGCAGTTGTTTTGGTCACTGTTAAGTAAACTGTTGGTTTACTGTTAATTGAGCTCTTTATCGTACCTACATCTTTGTAGACTTTAAACTGATAAGCTTTATTCATTCAGGTCCAAGAGGCAGTCGATGGGCTAACCCTGCAGTAATATCGACCATCCTTGTYGTACTCATAGCAGTTTTAGCTATTATTGGAGCCGTTCTTCTCAAGCGGCGACCCGAGCCCCTGGTCGTTCCCGTCGACACCCAGGACGCTGGCCACGTCCATGACAACATCAGACTCTACCACGATGACGGTGGTGGAGAGGAAGACAACCTTGGCTACGACATCACTAAATTAATGAAATATACTTATATAGAGACAACGGGGCCAGCTCGTCCAAGRGGACCTAGAGTCAACGAGGAGCTCGTTGATGTCCCAGAAAAGACSCCCTTGCTTCAATCAGCACCACCAGGTGATGGCCCTACTTTTGGTTTCACCGGTACTCGTCCACCATCAAAGATGCCGAAGTACGTGGATGGGGATGACGTTGGAGACTTCATTACTAGTCGTGTTAAGATCACTGATCGTGAGGTATGTAGTAATAATAGGTTTTGTTATTATTATCATGGTAATGGTGATGATAATTATTGTGTGTGTGAAATGGTTGAGTGGGATTTATGCGTTGGTTTACGTTTTTTTTGCCTCAAGGGAATATTTATCGTTATATTTATCATTTATATGCAGTTTTTATCATCATAATCATCGTCATTATACTTTCATTATCATCATCATCGACTATCGCTGTATAAATGCTAAATATCATCATTCTATCATCATCATCATTATCATCATCATCACCATTATTATTATTACTATTAATGTTATTATTCATTGTTTTATTGTTTGTTTATATCAGGTTTTCTTGGCTGTCGATGAGATTCACATCTACCGTTACGAGGGTGACGACTCAGATGTCGACGACCTCAGTGAGATTGAGGACGAAGAAGACGAGGACGACGAATACGAACAAGAATTCGAGTTCCTGAAACAATGGGGAACGAAGTTTGATAAGCTTGCGAAGTTGTACGATGAAGTCGACGAGTAATTTCCGATGTTTAGACGGAAATCACACSAGCGATTAACGATTACTTTACAGTAAAATATAGTTTAAAGATCGATAGATTCCGCACAAATAATTCAGGATGATGTACGATGATATTGAGCGTTGAATATCAACCCAATRCACGATGATAAGAAATATTTTAAAAACGACGAACAGACGAACACCATACGAGTGGCAACCGATAACATCACRACTAACTCTACACTTAACGATCAACAAACGAAGACTAACGAATCCTCAACGACAGGCATAACAAKCAACGAACAGCGAACGAACAGTAAGCGATTACAACACGATAAAKAGCCAGCGCACGACGAACAAACAATAACATTTGTAGATAAAATAGTCCAGTATTAAATAGCTTTTTTAAATTGCGCTATTTTCATATGACTTAGATGCTTTTAAGATAAAGGAATATATTAGTTAGGATTATTACTATTTGTTGTTGTTCTTGTTATTTTATTTGAAATTTTCACTGCTATTTTACGTAACATTAATAATGCTTTGCTCATATTGTGTTTTTAGTGCGCATTCGTTGCCTTGACCCGTACAAGTATGATTGTAGTCTCTTGTAGTCTAGTTTCTACATTTTCGAGATAAAACAATAGGAATTGTAAAGTAATGATAAATTAAGAAGTTAAAAAGGAAACATAGAAACACAAAGCATGATGGAAATGCATTTATGTCGCGCAATTTTTGTCCACATTTGGTATATTCTAAATAGTAATAGCGTTTAATTTTATGAAACTATCTAAATGGTTTTGTTAGTGTCTTAAATATTGAGACACCAAGAATGTTTGCGTTACAAGTTTCGTATGTATTTGAATAAGAAAAATAGTTAGAAAATTGAATGAACTTTTAGATGATTTTATATGCTTGATTCAAAATAATATTTTGTAGACTTGTTTGATAAATAAATAATTTTAAAAATCATTGAATGGGATTTTGTTTTTGATTCCTTTCCTTTCTTACCTGTGCTTCGCTATCCTCGTTCTCTTACCTTAAGTTTGTGCAACAAAGCATGATATGGTAGTTTGTAGCCCTCGCACATTTCCATGTCAACTACATCTGTACTCCGAAGCCGTTGCTTTTTCAAACTAGAGCTGGTTGTGGCGTTATTACGATAAAAACATAAAAACAGCTTTTTTTTGAGGAGTTATAAAAAGATCGAGAACTAAAACTTCCCATCATGCTTTTTTGTACAAAATGKCGTCGCTTAATTTTAATTTGCTTAAGAAAAATTCTAAAAAAATGCGAGAAMGATAAGCTGATGTGTCGAATCAATTCATATTTCTTCCATGCTGATCCCGATGCCTAAATCGGGCTAGAAAAAGCCAGTGAGGCAGAGTCCATAGATAATTCAACCTTGAGTTTGAGCTAAGTAGGCAAGTATTTGGTGAGAGTGCCAAAGTGCGGGTTACCGCCTGTCGAGAAAATTCACCGTTACCCACAATTAATCGCGAGTGAAGTTCAAAGAAACGGCACTTGACTCATGGAGTGTACCCTAATGCAACTGGGTACAAAAGAAAAATCAGTGCAAAATAGAAGAGCTAAACTTTTCCTGCAAAGGTTGAATCTTGGCATGAATGAAGGATTTTGTGCAGTAAAATTGGAAAGGAATTCAGGTTTTTTGTTGTTGTTCTCGTYTTACGTGTAAAAGTGTGCAACTCCGAATTCGCTCTCTTTAAAGCGACTATATTCTCTGCAAAAAAGGCCTAGGATGCTTAGTTTAGGAGTTAGCAGTCGTAGAGTTTAGTAGACAACACAATCGTTAGTATCATGTCTATTAAACTGACCAAATGCTATTTTTTAAAAGAGTGACCTATGTAAGTCGTACAAATATGTACGATTGCCGGTAAAASTGRGCCTTTCATGATCGAATTTTAATTGMGGAAACAAGCACGATACCTTGAGCTAACAAAAAATAAATAAATAAATGCGTTCCATTATATAGGCCAATGCAAATCATACCGTTTTCTTGGGTGTAAGTGTTACCGGATCCCAACCAATGACAAGCCTTTCTAGACTAGCACTCCACACGGTCAAGGAACTGGGGAGAGAAAACATAGCATGAGTTCAAGATTTTACCTTCCAACAGTCGATAGGGGCAAAAATCTCGAGCCACAATTTTCCGGACGGTTTTCGTAATAGACATAATATCTAATCCGCTGGCCAAGAAAATAGATGTCTCTGGATTCACATCAGATTTGTTTTTGATGCCTACTCTCGGTAAAATTCCCGAACGACCGATATTCCGAAGAATTACGAATTACCGAAGAGCTGCCGAAACTCACTGTCTTTTGATTACTGTGTTGAAGAAGTGTTCGGATAGTTTTAGCATTAAGTACAAATAAACATCATGAATTTCGWTCACCAAGGCCAACTCTTTCACCCCGAATTACCTTAGAAACAGCGGTAGCCTAGCAACGTAGTTGACGATAATCACGGTAAAATAAAGCTGAAATAACAGKCCCAGAACCTTCCAATTAGCAAAAAATAAGGTGAAGATGTTACGATACGAAAATCAGAATCTCGAAAAAATGAACACCATTGAAATATGTTACGTTTTCAAGTCAAATAACTGAAAGACCACCAAGACATGCTACCATSGTTATCCKTGATATCRTGACATTGCCCTGGTAATGACGATGGTAAACTACGCAATGGCGTGTTTGAATAACGTATTTCTTCACACATATACATGACAAATAATATACCCGTCCGAAACGACCAAAACGTAATTTGTGATGTGACGTAGAGGGTTCGTWATATTAGTACGTCATATATGGTATTCACGTGTACGTTCAACGCAAACACAGAAAAGATGAACGTTACTGTGATGTTAAAGTTCCATGATATCGTAATTGTCCAACACGAGACATGCGCATTTGCATACCCATTTGACGCAAACATCGGAAAAATCGTCATTTTTGAGTTTTATTACTCGCGCCTTTGCGCAATTCAACTCGGCTTCAATTTGGTATAAATACAATCAACAGTCAAAGAACCTCACAACACACGGCAAGTCTTGAAAGGTAGCAATGGAATTTCAAACAGCAGCTAACGAGAATTCGTTCGAGGCTTACCATCAGTTTTACACCATGTCAGACAGCAAAGAGATGTCACAGAAGCAGCACATTGATGCGCTATACTATGGAATGGCAAGAGATGTCCAGTTTCCACAGAAATCAGATGTATTTCACAATGGTGAGTAAGCGATGAAAAAGTCCTAAGGCCTGTTTTTGCCGCGTCTGTAATCTAATCAGGCTGTAGTTGAGTTTATGAACATTTATAGTACTCTGAATTCATTGACATTAGTTGATTTTGCTCAGTTGGACAAACTCAATATAATCTGTAAATATGTGCACTGCAAACTTCTCGCGAACTACATGCAAGCAAATTAGATTAGACGCGGCAAAAGGTTTATTAATGGATCGGGCCCAAATTACATATTCAATAATTGATTTACTAACTACTAACGAGCAAGAGATGCAACATCAAAATGAGGTAGAAACGGACGTTGTCAGGAGGAGACGGGGTCTGTTCTTCTGAATAACTGTTCTTATACGAATGTTTTCCTGGGAAAGGGATTTTGAGCTACATTTTTGACAACCTCACACGGAAATGTGCCGCCCTTTCTAGTCTTAAAAATAATTTTGTTCTGGCAAACATTTTTATGGTCAAAAAGGCTTATATGATGTTTTTATGGTCAAAAACTGCTCATTTTTTTAGTTAACAAATTTTTATTTTCCTGACAAAAATTCTTAGAAAGTATTCCTTGCCTGGAGAGTTCTTTTTTTCTGAATTTCTCGCTGACAACCAGTTGTGACTTACAGCTGACTGGGACATAGGAACAGATATATTTCTCCCAGGAACCCGTCGGCTCCTCCTAACGTTGGTYCAACGAAGGAGAAAATGCCCAAAATGTCAGCAAGTTTTCTGTTCTTTTTGTGGAGAAATTCATCATTTCACTCAAACTGTTTTAAAAGAACCGCTCACAGAGCCATTCTAACACACTTTTTTAGATCCCAGTTATCATCGAACTAAAGAGTAAAAGACTTAAAAAAGAAAACATTATTATACATTAAAGCACAATTTGTTTTCTTTGACAGCAGAAAAGGAACCCCAAGGATGCGGCAAAAAACAAAGGACTTTCTTCACATGTTTTCAAAAGGTTGAACTTGAAGAAATCTTCTGCAAAAACTCCTACCCATCCAGACAAACTTGCGAGTTACTGGCTCTTAAGTTTGGCACCAATTCTCACTCATTGAAGGTAACACATTTTACAGAATGAATAAAATCGCCACAAAAACTCGT